TCGCCTTGCGATGGTAGGACTAAGATGCTACAATGGCCATAGAACCTAGCTAACGCATTTATTGCAGGAATCTGGGAACTGCCCAGTCCTTCTCAGGCCGTCGTAGAATTTGTCCGACGTGGAAATCGCCGCGAAACAAGCACTCCATCAGATTTGCGAAAACCCTCATGGATAACTGTCTGGCTTCCAACAGCGAAACTGGTGGCGTTGGCTGCGATAATATGACCATGATCATCGTCGGTCTTCTCAATGGTAAAACCAAGGAAGAGTGGTACAATACCATTGCCGAACGTGTTGCAAAGGGTGATGGTCCCTGCGCGCCCCCGGAATATGGTGAGCTTTGAGTTCCAATGATTATGGCTTCATTGTTGAACTATCAACTAACCCACCGTTTTTCAGCTCAGCTCCGTGGGCCAGGCGTCCGGAACCAGTTCGATGAGAACCCCAATGAATATGATCCAGCTCTCAACAGCCGAGCGGGCACTGGTCGTACGGGCCGAATTATCCTGCTTGGTGACGGCACTGAGCTTCTCACCGACATGGGAGACGAAGACGAGATGTTCGAAAACGGGGACACTGATTCCGACGAAGAACCACATACCGCAACCACCAATTCCGTTGAAGACCCCTCTAGAAACGAACGCGAAGGCACTCCCGGACCTCAGAACCATGTGGCCCAGACCAATGGTGCCAACGAGGGATCGAAGACTGCAGAAGTGACTCTTCCATCCGCCACCCGGGCTGAGCCGCCAGCCAATGCTACAGCCAGTCAATCTTCTTCCAGTTAATTATTCGAAAATCAGTTGCTGCATTACCAAGAGTTGAGGGTGTTTAACATCTACTACGACGGAATTCGCGGAAACCAGGGGGCTCTTATGACGGATTTCTTTGACTGTTTTCTCTCTGGTTCTTTTTTCACTTCATGTATTGCTGGTTATCTCCCCTGGGCTTCCTAGGAGGTTCTTCATCTGGAGGCCTCACGGTGATGTAGCGCCTGAACACATGACGATTGTGAGATTTGGTGAACGCATACAATGCTCCGGCTTTGCCATTGTCGGATGCTCTGGATGTGCCACCGTTTTCTGCTTTTGTTTTCCCCGGCTTTGTCTTTCTCCGTTTTTACGACTGCATCTTCTATTTCGCGAAAGGGGAGGTCTTTCGACGAATGAATGAAACTCATACGAGACGATGGCGCCGGGCGGACGAAGGCCAACGAAATTTTACGCTTTCTGATGATCGGAGAGGGTTTTCATCCATTTTTCCTATTTCTTCTGCCTGAGCTGTTATGTTTCCCCCCATCCAGGCGTTTGCGTGGGCTAAATTTAATCTTCGAGTGTGTGAATTGAGGATACATGGTCTTTTTCCTACTTCCCTTTGCTTTGAATCGGCCATCGACTACGCCCTACGTTCAATCGTGGCATTTACGAGTAAAAACTGTGCGTGTGCTTTGTGAGGAGGATATGCAATGCTTTCTTCGAACGGGCTGTGTTTTTGCGCTGAGGATTGGAAGACGTACAGCAATGGCATGGCAGACTGCTCTGGCTGTACGAGTCTTGCCAGCGCAACGGGCACCGATTCTATAGACGCTGTGTAGGAGTCTTCTGGAGGCGAGAGCAATATCAGAGCAACTAGTTTTCCATAGGTATATTGACCGCTACGTAGGCCAAGTGAAGCTGTGATCCGTGTCATCCTTGCAATCCGAGATGACCGTTATAATTAGGAAAAAAATTCAGAGCTGCTCGCCCCTTTTCCGTCTCCTCGACCTGCTTGTCCTTCAAGATTCATTTATCATTTATCATTGATTAGTTTTTTTGTTTTATTTCTGTTTTATTTCCTGGCTCTCCACACGCAACTCGGAACTGCGGGAGTGCGCTCGGGATCCACAGCCATTGGCAACTCCAGCAAAAGCAACAAAGCAACCTTCCCCCTGGCAGCACTGCAACTCCTCGCGACTTTTTACTGTCTATTTCTGCAGCCAGTCGCCAACGCCCTTGGGTCCTAAGAATCTCAACAGGCCAGCTCCTGTGCTCAATCCTTCATTTTCAAACTAAATCCAATGTCGCCGTCACCGTCGCCCTCCACCGCCGCGAAGCGGAAACGCACCGCCTCTCACCTCCCTCCGCCAGATATCCCCAAGTCCTCCACTGCAGAATTGCTCCAGCCATCATCGCGTGACGCATCCGGCGAAGAAGGAGGCGACGAGTCGACCGCGCCCCCAGCATCTCCAAAGCACAAGAAGCCCGTTGACGCGTCCGCCATTCCACCGTCCAAACGCCCACGCACCCGGTCCATAGTAGCTTCGGAAGCGGCGTTGCACCACAACGGGACCGCGGCGCTGTCGATTGGCAACAACGATCCCGGCGAGCCGTCCGAGACGACGGAGGCGAGTGTCGACATTGAGAATCGGATCGGGCGTCGATCGGGCTCGTTCCGTCAGCCGGCGGTGAGAGGGCAGGATGGGCGGATGAAGCCGCCGATGAGGGCTGGGTTGCAGGATCTCGCTGGGTACAAGACGAATCCGCCTCCGGGTGGGACGGCCGGTGAGGGTGTATGCGGATGGGGTGTTTGATTTGTTTCATCTTGGGTATGTGAGCTTGTCGAGCATTGTGGTTTTTTGTTCTCTTTTCGTGGTGCAATTGCGAAACGGGGGATGTATTGATTCGAGTGACAGTCATATGCGCCAGTTGGAACAGGCGAAGAAGGCGTTTCCGGATACACATCTCATCGTCGGCGTGACAGGAGATGAAGAAACGCATATGCGCAAGGGGTTAACGGTCCTGAACGAGGTTGAGAGGGCGGAGACGGTGCGGCATTGCAAGTGGGTGGATGAGGTGATACCCAGGTGCCCTTGGATCGTATCCCCGGAGTTTTTAGAGGAACATGAGATCGACTACGTTGCTCACGATGATATACCCTATGGAGCGGACGAGGGCGATGATATCTATGCTCCCGTGAAAGCAGCTGGCAAATTCTTGGTCACTCAACGCACTGAAGGCGTCAGCACTACGGGCATCATCACCAAGTATGTTCTCCATACGTGCAGGCCATTTGTCGATGCCCATTTGTTCCAAGTTTGCTAATATGGCGATCACATAGGATCGTTCGAGACTACGAGAAATACATCACACGTCAACTCAAGCGAGGAACCTCTAGACAGGAACTCAACGTCTCCTGGCTCAAGAAGAACGAACTCGAGATCAAGAGACACGTCTTCGAGCTTCGCGATACCATCAAGAACAATTGGTCTGCGACTGGTCAGGAGCTGGGCAAAGAGCTTCGCCAGCTCTGGCAGAGTAGCCGGTCCAACAGCCCTGCTCGACGCAGCTTCGATCTCGGGCAGAATGGCGTGACGAGCCCCACGGGAAATGGGAACATCTTCAGTTTCGGAAGTAACAGGTCGCATCTTGACGTGCCAAATCGGCCTGATAGCCCTGGTGCCGGGCGGACTGAGGATTTTGCGACGGGTTACAGTCTAGGATTGATTGGCGGCGTTCGATCGTGGGTAAGTTGGAATCTGTCCTGATCCAGTTACATATATTTCTCTTTTTTTTTTTTTCAACTTATCCTTGTCGCGATCATGATACTCATTAGACATTCACAGATGATGCGCAGCCGTACTTCCCTCCGCGACTCAATCAGCCATCCACCATCGCCATCCGGGAGTGATGAGGAGCGAACTGGCTCGGAAGAAGCGACCGGAGATATTCCTGTAGCACCTAAAGTCAAGACCTAAGTCGCTTCTACACGTCAGGAGGACTTTTTGTGAATTAAATCACAATCATTCGGGATTAGGATCATAATTTATCAGTAGGAAAGACGATTTTCCTTGAACGGTGAGACGATTGCCTGGCTATATATAGCCGGGGATCCCTAAATTTTCACTTCTTAACGAACACGCCTAATGTACACCATATATACCTTGTGCATACCGGGTTACTGCTATCAATATATAGTCTAATGGACGGGGCGTTAGAACCTCTACTTCTTTGCTGTTTTGTCATTGGCTGTCGTTGCACCAGGAGATGTTCTCGTTGAGATATAAACTCGGGCATCTTAAGGCGAATTTGATATATTCCGGTTCTATGGACACAAGGTGGTATAGCTAACTAGTCTAAATGCTTTTGAACTTTTGTACATGGTAAATATCATCATCTCATCAAGTCAATAACCGTGATCCCGATCCTCACCCTCAGCCATATCCATCATTAATTATCGATTAGGGTGGTACCGCCATGATTACCATCATCTGCCGTCATCATCATCTTCATCATCCAGCCCATGCAGCAAACTCCTCCTCTCTTCCTCAACCGCGTCATGTCCATCATTCCTGTACACAATCTTCGCCCGACCCCTTCCACTCTCCAGATCACCTTCATCGCCAGAAAACACGCCATCCACAGAATCCCCCGCCTCATCCTCACTCTTCCCATTCGCACTCGCACTCTGGCCGTTCCCATCCCTCGCAACGGCAACATATATCGCACTTGCCAGGATAATCCCCGACCCCGCCCAACTCAGCGGCGACGGCATCGAGTTCCACACCATCCGGTCATAGAACAATGCAAACAGCATTTGCGTATATACCATGTTGGTTGCGCGCGAACCGTGTGAGCTCACTTTGCCGCCGAGCACCGACGGCGGAGGCACATACGACAATCCCGCCGTGAGCAGGAATTGCAGGAAGAATCCGCACACACCCAGGCCGCAGAGGAGCAGGGTCTCGGAAAGATTGGCGGGAAGGCGGAAGGAGACGTTGGGCAGGACGAGCACGGCGATGGTGGAGATGATGGTGGTCAGGGTGGAAAAGTAGTTGACGCTGACGAGAGGGTGCGCGCGTTGGCCGATTTTGCGGATGGAGGTGTATGCCGATGTTGCGCCGAGGACGCCCATGAGGGCGGCGCCGATGGCGATGAGGTGTTGGTTGGAGTCGGAGTCTGGGTCTGAGACGGGCCCGTTGGTGGTGTTTCTGGCGGCTAGGGATGATGGCGAGAAGGTTGTGTTGCCGTAGGAGAGGCTTCCTTCCGGAGACGATCCTGATACGCTGGAGAAGAGTGATCCCGGGCGGGCGATGAGGACAACGCCGAAGAGGGAAGCGAGGCCGGCTAGTTGCTGTTTGCGGCTAAAGGTTTCATTGGGTATGATCAGGGAGCAGACATAGCATGTTAGGATTGGCGCGAGGAATGTCAGCACCGTGGCTTCTGACAGCGGCAGATAGCCAAGTGAGTAATAGAGCCCAAAGACACCAATAAAGCCGCTCACTCCGCGCAGGACAAGGAGGCCTCGAACTGCGGGAGCACCAAACGGCTGGGGAACTTTTTTATACCACATGTATAAGAAGCTGCAGAGGGTTGTTGCAGACATGCGGACAAACAGAATCTAGCATAACTGTCAGTACACACGTTGAGACAACGAGGCGAGCCATGACTGACTTCAAATGGATGCATTCCTTTCCCATGAGGGCCATCCAACTCCAGTAGCCTGGTCATCACGTTCATAGAAGCCCCGAAGAACTGCGCCGCCATCACCATCAACATCCCCTTGCTCAGCAGCCACCTACGAATGACCTCCTTCCTCCATGTCAAGTCCAGGGGAGGAGACGCAGCCACCAGCTCAGGCCCCGGAGACGGAGACGGCGAAACGGGCTGGGTAAATCTGGGTTCATTCTGGCTTGTGCTGGGTGGCAGTAGCCGGGCAGACACCAGAGAGTCAGACGACGACGAGCGCGAAGAATCTGTCGCGGGCACATCCAGATGTGTCCCGTAGCTTCTGAGTCTGTGCGAGAATTTGGGGCGTGAGGAGCTTTGTTGCGACCCGTCAGAGGCACCTCCAGGCGTCCAGCTGCGGCTGTCACGGCGGCCATCGCTGATTGAATCTTCTCCAGCATCGTCTGGCGAAACGACGGCGGGAGACGCCTCAGATTTCGAAACTGCCATGGCTCAACGAAACATTGACAACAGGAAGAAAGAAAGCAAATACTCGCGCCATTGACAGTGCGGCCCGCTAGCGAGTCAACCAACATTTGAAAACCGGCGCCCTGCACGGCTTTTTAAAGAAACATCGCAAGACATATGACTAATAGGCCCCATTGACGGGTATCTCAAGGGAACGGTGGCGATGCCGGTGCCTTTTGACAGAGTGACTAGAAAGTGACATCCGAATCCAAAATATCTGAGCCTAGGCTCTCATCCCTGGCGGCGGATCGGCCAGTTCGGAACTGGGATGCGACTGGGATCGTTGCCGGGACCCGAGGGGATCAGAAAATGCCTGGGATGTTGCTCTACGGTTGAAAAGGGTCTTGAACTAGAGAGCAAGTCTATGTTTGCTATTGATGCGCTTTGATACAGTGCCATATATATTTACTACGTGAAAGTGAAGGTATCTCCTCCCTTCTCTAGCATCATGCTTCCCATCCTCTTCGTCCCTGCAATCCGCTCCAGCTTCAGGGCATCCCATTTTGAAAACAGCGCCCGCACGCCTTTCTCTGCTGCTTCGCCCACCGCAGCGGGGTCTATTCCCAAGAATCCCGCGATTTCCTTGTAAAAGACCGGGTTCTCGGGTACGCCATACATGACCACGCGCTTAACCCCACGGATCTTGTATCGACGAAAGTGATGCAAGCGCTCTGTGTACAGCATGACGGTGTGGCGCCCGTTCATGAAGTGGCTCCTGGCTCGAGCAACGTCACGGGGCGAAGAATACTCTGAAATTGCGCCAAAGGAAAGATTCGTCGTCTGCGATGAGGTAGCAAAATAGTTGCGAATACGGACAAAATCGAGATACGAGGGAATGAAGATGAGAGTCCCTGCGGCAGATGACTTCCCGGAACTAGACCAGTTCTTGGCCAGTGATGAAAGGACGGTGCTAGTAAAGTACTTGAACCGAGCATCAGGGTCCTTGACAGGCGAAAGAGAGTCAAACCGAGAAAAGGTCTGCCTGACGGGAACGGGGACGGGCACGTCAAGGATCGCGCCTGGGTAGGTGCTGTCTATCTTGATCTTCCCAAAGACGTTATAAGCGTGATGGGAAAAGAGAGAGTTGATCTCGGGGGTTATGAATGAAGTCAGTATGAGCGTTTGTCGGAGATATTTGGCGTTTCCATCGAGGTACCATGTCCGCACGCGGCCAAAATCACAGCCATGGGCTTCTTTGGGCTGAAGATTTAGGTGAGAAAAGATATATTCAACGTGGTCCCAGTTTTGCATCAGTAGAGCGTCTGCGTGGTCGACGATAACGAGTTCGATAGAAGATAGAAAATCATACTCGATTTTTTTCCCACTGCAAAGAGTTAGTTATGAGCTGGAACACGGAAACAAGGCATTGAGTTCTTACTCTTCCTTTTCAATCGCGGTTCGTAACCCTAGAGGACTGGCGAGGATTATATCCGAACTGTAGAATTGAGAAAAGAATTTGACCGTTTTCCTCGTGAATTTCAAGCCGAGTCTGAACATGTCATCATCATTACCACCGAATAACTCCCGAAAATCTTCGGTTTTATCCTCCCATGTGTCATCATCAGCCGTCGAGAACGTCTCCATGAATCTTTTCCTGTTCTCTTGTTGTTCGGCTTGATAAAATTTGGATATTGAATCCACCACACGGACGCACGCTTGCCTAGTTGGAAGGATAATTAACACCTTTGGCCGTGTGAAGCCTTGGTCTCGGATTTCGATATCTTCTCCTTCCTTGGGGACGCGCGCATTGTTTTTGATCACCCGATCTCTTGTTTTGATAATGTGGTTTAAGGCATGGAGGCAGTACATATCTCGCAGCTTGGCTGCATTACCCGTGGTCCTCCCTCCGTAAATCATATCGTAATAGCCAAATAGATACGGTGCGACGCTCGTGTTAGGTGCATCAAATTGTGGCAGGTGTACAGACGCAGCTTCAGACAGCTTCCGTTTGAGAGTCAGGTCCTTCGGGCTGTGCAAAGAAGCTCGATGGAGATTTTGCTCCTCGCCAACGTCGGGATAAACAGCCGTAAAGCGCATCCCCGCCGGGAGAGTTTGTCTGCTTGTTCTCCATTTCTGGGAAGTCGCCTCGATTCGTTTTGACAATTGAGCCTCGTCAGGCTGAGAAAAATGTATCTCGAACGGGTCAGAACCTATACAAGAGTTAATCGATTGCCCCAGAATTTGCTAGAACGAAAATCCCGGACCACTGTCTGCCTCGTCTTCACTTCCTTCTGCTTCGTCATTTTCAACCTGCTCGTTGTCACTCTCAGTGTTCTCTGCCTCCTTGACGTCTAGATCATCCTGCAAATCCAAATCTCCCTTCCCTGGCGAGGCCTCTTTGGTTGCTTCCGTTTGTTGTTTCACATTCTTCTCCTTGTGCTTTAGTTTTCGTTTCTTCTTGGCCGGTCCGATAGAGTCCTCGCTAGCATTAAGGAGTTGAAGGAGAACGTTGTAGGGCTTATCGGTCGACTTTTCTTCTTCCTCGTTATCAGAGGAGCTGACCGAATACTCTGCATCGCTTGCTTCGTTCAAGGCATCCTCAGAAACCACTTGCTCGCCGTTCAAAGGCTCGCGATCACTAGCAAACTGTCAGTCACGGATGGAAGCAAGCGTAGCGTAGACGTTGAGCATACTCGAGATCTTGCACTCTGGAAGTCTCAAACCGGGGCTGTTTCCTGCGAGGAGGACCTCTACCTTTTGCTGCGCCTTTGACGGCCATCTTTTCATCCTCCAGTTCTCTGGAGCAGCTCGTCGTCGTCGCCGTGATATTTTTTTTCGTTTGGCGATCTTATCTTATCTTAGCGTGAAATTTCCGCATTCGAATCCGCACACACAAGAAGTCGCTTCGAAGCCGATCGCCAACGAGCCCAACCAGCCCCAATCTCGCCTTGTCAGCTTCCCTATTGCGCCAGACAGGCTGAACTTATATTCTACAGCTTTGCAATCATGGCTGACACTGGTTCGTTTATTCACCTGGCACGGCCTCTGGGTCCTGCTGCCGTGGGTGTTGCTCCCACCACTGCCCCTCTCAGCGTCGTGATACAACCACAAGTAAGACTGACAATGCGAGTCGGAATGCCATCTATGATAAGACTAATCCTTGTCTCCAGGCCATCTTCTCCATTCTCGATCATTCCCTCCGTCGCAATGCTGACCAAGAGCGCGTCATTGGCACCCTTCTCGGCACTCGATCAGAAGATGGCGCCGAAGTCGAAATCCGCAGCTGCTTCGCTGTCGGCCACACGGAAACCACCGATCAAGTTGAAGTAGACATGGAATATCAGAAGCAAATGCTTGCGCTGCACTTGAAAGCCAACCCCAAGGAAGTACTCGTGGGTTGGTATGCGACATCGTCCGAATTGAACACCTTTTCTGCGTTGATTCAGAATTTTTACGGTAGCCAGGGGGAGGGAACGTGGCCCCATCCTGCCGTTCATCTGACCGTTTCTACTGAGCCCGGGAAGGATATCGAAACTAGAGCATATATTTCTGCACCAGTAGGCGTGACTGCTGAGCGAGCCGCTGACAGCGCTGCCTTTATTCCTGTTCCCTATGAAATTCGGTATAACGAGGCGGAAAGGAATGGCCTAGAGGCTATTGCCGCTGCAAGAGACACCGAAGACCGGACGTCTACTTTGTTCACCGATATCGAAACCTTGGAGAAGTCGATTGAAGAGGTCCTCGACATGATCGATAGAGTATCAAAATATGTCGAATCGGTTATCGACGAGGAAGCCCCCGCTTCAACCGCCCTTGGCCAATTCTTACTAAACGCGCTGGCTTTGGCGCCAAAGGTTGATCCGGCTAATATCGAGAGTGACTTGTACGTTAACATCTCAATCATCCCCCGTATCAAATGCTAACAACAGGTACAGCAACAAACACATTCAAGACGTTTTAGTCGTCTCCTATCTCGCCAACACTATTCGTACTCAGATGGAACTCTCCAACCGACTAGCAACCGCTCAGCTTACTCTTGGAGGTGGCGACAGCGGCGCCATCAGTGGTGGTGCAGGAGGTGAAGCTGGTGGACAGCGAGGCGGCCAGCGCAACAACCGTCAACGTGGTGGCCAACAACGCAACCAACCCGAGGAATCGCGAGCCTAGAGCATGATCCACACTGCTTGCTACCTCTAATATGATATCTATTTGAACGACCGAATCCTGCCTTTTACTATTGACCCTGCTCTATGGAGATCCTGGACTGATAGACACGATTTTCCTTGGGAATTAACTGCGTTTCCATAGCCTTGGGAAACCCCGAACGATCGCAGTTGCTCATTCTAACCTATTCGGCTGTGGCTCTGGCTAAAAGCAAGGCGTCTTTGGAGTTTGTCATTGCTTGGTTGTATGTGTTGGCTGATGCTGCCCTTTTGCCACGGGGTTCCCTTTTCAGTTTGAAAGCCTTGTTCCTGCTCAAGACATGGGCACAAACTTTTCGTCCTTGTCCGCATGATGGATCACGAAGCATGAGGCTTGCATGTATAGATCAAATGAAATCATTTGAAATCACATGCTACAGATCTGATCTCTACAGTAATTTATTACTTTATGAATGCATAGCAAAAATGAAAAAGTATGAAATGCCATGCAACAGACGTGTCATTTTCATTGCAATAGTCAATAAAGGCTGAAGAGTGCGCCAAATCATGCACAAATCCTAGACTCCATTTGCATGCTAGACCTTTCTGGTAACGCCCGACTCGCCTTTGACTGATGATGTCACCGTTGAACGATTTCCCTGCCCATTTGAATGCCTGTTTCCAAATTTCCGTAGAAACGCCGTCGTTAAACCATGTCGTGACAAATAACCGCCAATCTCGTAGAAAACATTCAAGCAGTAGACTCCGCCTTGGTGGAAGCCTTGCGCTTCTTGCCCGTACCACTCTCCGAAGCAGCGGCCTCCGCACCAGCAGCGCGCCTTTTCCCCTTGCCCTTTTTCTTAGGAGCGGCATCGGTGCCATCCACCGTAGTTTCTGCCACCCCACCTTCGGAGCCAGCGAGCTCCCCAAGTCCCTTGGCAGCACCGGCATCTTTGCCCACACGGTCGTCATTCTGATCAAAAGCTTTGCGCGCCTCCTTCAATTCCTTCTCGAGCTGGAAGAGTTCCTGGACACGGCCCAACTTGGTGGCGTCGCGACGAATGACGAACATGAAATCATCGACTTTAACCTTCTGGCGTCCGGCGTGAGCTGCAACCTGGGCTGCGGCGTGGCAGGTTTCGATGATGAAATCGGTGACGATTTCATCGAGGACGCGGACAGTCTCCGGGTTGGGCTCTTGGGGGAAGTCAGGGTGAGGGGCGGTGTCGCCAAATCCACGGAGAAGCTGACGAACTGGAGAGCACATGACAATGTTAGCGAGAGGCTTTTGGCGCGGGGGGGAGCTTTACAACATGACGGAAACAAGTGTGCTCCACTAGCCAAACAGAAAGGAAAGTAAGAGGGAAGAGGGAAAAAAAGACTTACGCTCATTGCCAAAGTTCAGCTGGGCATGGTGCCGAGTCAAGCGCACGCGAGGCTCAGACATGCTGCCGGCTTCAGCAGCTTCGGTCGCTGGATCGCGAGCTTGATCGTTCTCCGCGGTCTCTGTCTTGTCGACAAACGCGAGGGTATAGTGCTCGTGGAAATTTGGAGCTGGAAGGATCTCGTATGTATGAGCGCCGTAGTCGAAGGTGAGGGGTTTGGCGGTCTTGGGAAATGGGATCCAGGCTCTCTCTACTGGTGCAGGAACAGAATGATGCTGGTTGTCTGCAGCATCGTGATTCTCCATGTTCTTAGTCACGGAGTCTAGCGTGAACTCAGTAGACGCGCGGTTAAGCAATAAGCGCAGGTGGTTCTTGGGGACAACGACACACAACTTGATAACAACAAGACGAGAGGAAGCAAAGAGGAACACAGAGAGAGAACAGATCTACAACAAAGCTGCCATGGTTAGTTTCCCTGCCTGACGCTCCGGGTTCTTGTCTGGTGGTTCCCCCGCCGACTGCAGTGCCTCCCTGCACAGAGTCAATGTGGAAGTGTTTTTGCTAACATGGGTATGAGCTTCATAGACTGCGCTATTCAACTTCCAATCCCTCCTCCTTGTCATTCTCCTTATTATTTGCACCAGTACCTATGCGCACTCAATAATGCCCGGGATAATGGATCGGAACCAGAATGGGTATGGCGCTACTCTTTTATGGCTTCGTTTCCAACAGTTGTTTCTCGAAGGAGAGCACCATTTCAAACCTACCTGATACTAATACTTCTATAATGCTAGTTTCTTTGGCATATTTTGGAAATGTGCCAGGGTTGGCGAGCGATTGAGCCCGTATGTCAGTTTATGCTGCATTGCTATGGCGGTAAGCCTCTCACAGTCTTTTTGTTTGTGGCACGATTTTTCCATGGATGTTTGGCTAATCGATCCTCGCTTGTAGATTTCGCTTTTCTTTGGCTCATAGCACAATCTACGGCTTCACGAGTTTCATGCATTTATACACACGTCGGTGTTCGGAGTTGGAGGCAGATGGGCTCGATAATGCTATACCATTATACAAAATGGCTAAAATGCTCCATGACATGTGCCATTTGCATTTCTTCTTGGAATAGATTCTTGTGGCTTTGCCAAAACGCGATGATAATGAGGACTGCCGCATAGAGCCACAATGTATGTTACAATGCAACATGCATCTCTGGGGACTTGAGTTGTTGATTCTTATATCTTCGGAGCCACCATGGCCTCGTTACTCAAGCTGATGGCCAAAGCACTCCAACTCGAGGGGCATGACGCACTAGGCCCGAAGTGGTTAACTCTTGACTGTTCTCAAGTGCTGGCTTCTCCTGGCTGCAGTTCATGAACAAGACTGCATCAAGCACACTCATTCAAGTCTGTTTGTATTTTCCAATGCCTGCTAGCTAGTATATGCTGTCACTGAAGCTAGACGCTCAGCATTTCTATATACCATATTAGGCCTTGCATCAACGAGAATGTCCGACTCTCCCTTCTTGGATTTGGAAGGCAACCGTATCCCTGGGGACCAGATCCTTGGGTATGGCGGGACTGGAATAGTGCTTCTCCGAGACCAGTTTGCCATCAAGATGCCGTTAAGATGGGCTAGAGATTCCCAAGCCGATGTGGATGAGAGACTTAAAGTTATTAAACACGAACAAGATGTCTATCGGCGTCTGGGGACATGTAAGGGAGTTGTTCCCTGTATCCATCTCTCTGACACCACGACTCAGCTCGCGTGGACAAAAAACGGAGAACTACGCACTTATCTAACGCAAAACCGATCCTCCAAATCCCTTTAGCTCTCATGGTTTCGTCAAATGGCCCGTACCCTCGCGCGTATACATGCTCATGCTGTGATTGTGGCAGACATTGCGAGCCGCAACTTCCTCCTCAACTCTGATATGTCTGTTGTATTTTGCGACTTTGATAATACATCACTGATGCCAATCGATATCAACATGGAGCCTGCCGATGATGATGGGTATTCAATACAAACGGATATCGGCCAGCTTGGGGCTGTATTCTTTGAAATTGTTACTTCAGAACGCTGCAATTTTGACCTTTTCCATGGTGAAAACATGGGCGGACGCATAGCCGAGTTTCCTCCCTGGCACCGACAGCCTTTGGCTGGGGCCAATCATCGAACAATGTTGGACCAAAGGCGCGTTTCAAAATGCTGCCTGCTTGGCGGATGCTTTGGATTCTTTCTGTCTCGAGAATGAGCCGACTCTACTGCGTGAAACAGAGAAGAATTTCAAGGTCTGCAAGTCCTTTTTGTCTTTGCCGGCGAGAGGTCTATCTATATAACCATTGATTATGCTTACAGTTACTGTCGGCGCTATGGCAACTCTCTGGGTCTGGAAACCGCATTGATATTGGCGTCATAGCAACAGCATCTACAATACCTGGCTCATGATATTGTGGGCTTTTTTGTTGGAGATTACATATATGGGCGGCGTGGCGCAATTAACACTTTCTACCTTCCCCCTTTCTCTTTTCTTCATTATTTCTTTAACTTCTTTAATCATACCTAGATAATCCTCTAGTCATGTCTGTCGGACAGTGATATGAATACCCCGGCTTTAGGCGCATCGATAGCGGTTTATGTTCATATCTGTCACGAAAGACGTGCTGCTCCATAGAATGATCTGGGTCTAGTCGAGGTACATGCTTCTCTGCAGTAACACGATGGGGAGCGGCGGTGAGGCTGGGTGGTGTTGGGATATTCAAGGCCATTGAAACGCTTCTGTATTTGTTTCAAAAAGGCAGTTAATCTTATGAGGTGTTGCCTGGCTCGTTAATTCTGTGACTATTTGGAGCATTTGCTATTTGCTTTTTTACTCGGAGGTTTGGCAAATCGCGGAGTCAACTGGGATCTAATCTTCCAGGCCGCAGGAGTAATTCGATTGCTGGAATGGTTTAATCTCTAGAACACGGCTTCTATCAGAGACATCTCTCGTTTACCTCTAAGAGATCACAAGTCTCTTCCCCGCTTATTTGTAGCTCTTGGGGCAGGATTTGCCTGTGTTGATCTGGACTACCCTCCATCCCCTGGATTGCCTCCAATCTAGGCTGATTTATCAATGTCAAAGTCTGCAAATCAACACCGATTCTATCAAGGGTCTCCTGAAGCCTCGCCTGATCGCGCATCCTGTTAACAGCCGCGAACGTATATTCATCAGGAGTCAGCCCCTCCAACAGCATCTGGTTCATCGCCTCAGCAAACTCGTCCACCATCTTGAGCTTCGCATATCCTCGAAGCACCGCATTCCACGTCGAGGTGTTCATCTTAACTCCATGCTCAATCATAGCTTGGCGGATCATGGCGAAGGTTTCTAGGTCCCCATGGCTCATGGCCGTATTTAACAAAATACCCCAGCTTACCATGGTTGGAAGCCTTTGCCGAATGGGCCTATTTTCGGCTTTAAGAAATGCGGTCTCTGGGAGGGGCCGGTACATATCCTGGATGATCATCAAGGATGGACGGATCCCGGTCTTATCTGGCTGGAGTGCCATCAGAAAAGTGTTGTAGATATGATCGGTCTCCGCCAATTTGCCAACAGAATCGTGGCCTTCTCGGACAAGTCTGTAAAACTGCTGATACACTTCAATTGTCTGTTCCATGCTCTTGTGCAAACGAAGGTATGCTGAAACCATCAAGACTAAAGAATGTGGTGAAGGTGGGAATTTCCATTTCCACCCTTTAACATTTAATTCCTCCCGGACTATACCCAGCTCCCGGAGTGGTTGCGGATCATGACCTAGGCAGTAAACTTGGATCATCTCGTTGAACAGTTTTGATTCCGTCTCGGGAGTGACTTGCCGATATAAAGCGTGCAAAACCTTGCTGATAACATGAGGTTCTTGTGCTAACTCAGAATTCGCCGCTATCGTGCGAAGGCAGTATTGTATCCTCACCGTATCACCACGCTCCACAGCATCGTCAAGGAGTAGTAGGTAGGTGTAGGAGTCCGGTGAAAAGCCGGAGTAGTCGTATATATCCCACGCCATTTCTGGGTCGCCCAATTTGATCGCGTTTTGAATAATAATATTCAACATCACTCGATTGGGTCGTATTCCCAAGTTCAGTATTTTGGGGAGAATTTGAAAATTGCGAGTTCCTTTCTCATCGTAGGTGCTATCCAGCGTGAGGAGTTTGCAGCAACGCTTGGCCACAACATCCGAGTCGAACGAAATCCACTGATTCATGCGATGAGGAAGCAGTTGCAGCACGCGAAATGAATTGCTGGCATCATTGAATTTATGGAGTAGATCCATTACAAACATCAAGGTAGGGGCCGTGACGTAGGTCTCCCCTTGGAGCATTTTTTCGACTGCTTCCAGCAGTTCACTTAGTTCGCAACGTTTGAGGTATGTACGTATTCCTCGCTGAGAAACGTTGATAACTGGCCATCTAGCTGGCCCAATCGTGGAACGTAGCAAGCCATGGTAATAGCTTTTGCTCTCCGGAGTACATGTCAAATGCTCGTAATAGAATGCATCAAGATAGAGCATGCATTCGGATACCATCCGAAAAGGAGGATAAGGTGAGTCGGCAGTGGATTCCAGAAATGTCAGTGCATCTTGGGGTGAGTTCAATAGGAGCCAAAAGGCGATATCTGGCCACCTTTCGCGCTTTTGCGACAGCTTCAACCCTGACCAGAAGCGCTTGCCGTCGGTGACATTGGTGAAATGTTTAGCCCAGCTTGCCACAATCGTCCATTCTTGCACTCTGAGTTGGTTCCAGATTTCAGTACTAGGTGTTCCATGAGCCTTCGCTTTGAACAACGTCTGGAAATTACGATTATAGTCTGGACGGACAACGGAGTGAGCATAGAGAGAGTTCCACCTTGCTTGGAATTCAATCTCATAAGTTCTGCTATTGAGGCTGAAACCACTGTAATGGCGGGCTTCCTCTAGGATAGCTTCTTCAATCAGGCGACGATCCTTGAGGATATGCGCCCCAGGGAATGCTGGATGCTGCTTTGGGTTTTGCTGCGCATGGGCTCGGGCAATTCCATTGGAAATTTTAAATGATTTATTTCCATTCTCTCCTTTTTGACCAGTGTTTGAGGGCTGGGCGGGTGCGGGTGCCGAGGCATTACGCCAGAGACGGTGAGGTTCTCTAGATGTATGTCGCTTGAAACGATCTGTCAGTCGCCGTGACACCGACGGCTGCGTAGACTGAGTCGGAGTCCTACTGGTAATTCTGCGAATTGGGAAAAACGGGGCACTGGGGGGCTGCGGAGGGCGGATGCTGTTCTCGGTTTGATAACTATCTTGTGTTATATCCAATCCGGGCGAATCGCTCTCCTTCAAGCTCGACGATAGACATTGTGAAACGGAGAAATGCCGAGGGGATATAGGCGCCTTATGCGAAGACTTGAAGCGGCTGGGGCATCGTGAGCGTGGACTGCAAAGCAGCGCTGGTCGAACGCAAACGCCGGTCATGTAGCTATCGACGGAAACGAAACGACCACCAAGTATTTCGGGGCGGATAGAGAAGCACTAGGTGTCCAAGCAAGCACCCTAGCTCAATGGGTTACAAGAATTTGTCGATTATCTTCTGTTCATTGTGCCTGCGTTGTCGTTATTTTTTGGGATTCGAGCTGGGGAGGTTTGGCTCTCAATTTGTGGCTTTCCGTGGCTGAACCTTGAAGGCTTGCTGGGGTCTCCAACTTCACGGCTTCACTTCGCTCTCAACTCGCCTTTTCAACCGCGAAACAGACAGGTCAAAGGCTCTCCACCGACCTGCGTTCCTTGTTGGCTCTGCTTACTATGGCTTCTACGCACTCCACCCTTGATGCAGCCGCGGTTGATCGCAAGACGCGCCTCGCAAAGCTTGCCGCGCTGAAAAGAAAACAGCCAGAACCAGATGGAAAAGAACCTCACCTCGACGAGCCCGACGGTAAATCTGCCGATGTTTCCTCAAAGTATCTTTCCGGAAGGAACTACGACCCAGAGACACGAGGACCCAAACTTGGCTTTGAAAATACACCTATTGAAGGGCAAACTACACTAGAGGAGAAAGCAGCCAAGATTTCGTTATCTACCGCGGAAACAGCACAGAAGGATGAGGAAGCAGACAAGCCGATCGACCTGTTCAAATTGCAGCCTAAAAAGCCAAACTGGGACTTGAAAAGAGATCTCGATGCAAAATTGAAGATTCTCAACGTGAGAACTGAAAACGCGATAGCACGGTTGGTGAGGGAGCGGATACAGAATGCGCAAAAGGCCGCGAAAGAGAAGACCAAGGGTGCCGACGTGGACGGAGAGGAAATCGGAATAGAAGGCGAAGCTCTAGTGGAAGGCATGCATATCCGAGAACGGGAGGAAGAGGAAGAGGAACGAAGGGAAAGGGAGGATGAGAACTGGAGCTAAACGATCGTTGATATTGGCGGATACGAGAATGAATCGGCGTGACGCCCTACGATTTATGCAATACGGCGCAGAAATATAGGAATCAAAGCTACAAGGGGCATGGCATGGACGCTGTTTCTAAACAATATATGATACATTTGCCTGTTATCCTTGGTACGGTAATGAAAAAGACCCCTCCGCACCGAAAACGCGCTTGTGAAGGCGATGGGGACAACGTGAAAAGAAGGCGAAATGCCATGAATGGAAAAGTCGCGGAACCTGATCGCCTTGGAATGACCGTCTCATGTTCTGTTCATGGCCTGTGTTAGGGCTAGTCGCTTACTGTACGGGCTCAAGCTTCGTCTTTTGGGTGGAGGGGCGGTATGCGCGGCGGCTGGCCTGTCCCTTGGCTTCTCCCTGGAGGCGGAACGTTCCCGCTGCCTGAGCCTAGATCTCTCGGGACTTGAATCTTGGGATGACCTCCTATATCTTCGGCCCGGACTGTGCGAATACCGCGATGGTGTCGCGTTTTGATATAACGCGGGCGTCATCGACCGTCTCTCCCTTGCAATTTTGCTTCTATTCCTGCTCCTACTTCTAGATCTGTTCCTCCAGCTACCTCGTCTGTCTGATGCATGCTGTCTCCCCCGTTCGTCTGGGCTTCGTGAATTCCATTTGCGTCTCAGGTGACGGTCCGTGCCACGTGCGCGAGAATGGGATTCCGCGTCAGACCCGGATGATGGATATGATTCTATCGATAGGCTTCTCCGTGCTTTTCGTTTGCGTTCCTCTGGCCGAAATGGTGAGGGTGATAGGTCGGCTCTTCTTCTTGGGGCCGGGGATTGTGAACGATTGGTGGATATGGTGGAAACTGAGCTTGAGGATATGTTTGAAGCAACTGAGCGAGACCGGGATCTTGATTTATGTCTGTCGGATGGGCCTCGATCCCCATTTAAGTTCCCCCTACCACGCCGTATTTCCTCCCCCCTTTGCTCAAAACTACTAGTTGCCGCGCTCCTGGAACAAATGATTATTAGTATTACCACGAGGGACTTGACATCCTGGCTTGTGAGACGTACGTTGGCGATGGTTGTTTTGGGAGATCACTTGATAAGGGTGGTAGCAGTTTCGGATTTGCTAATTGCTGGGTTCTAGAGGGACGTGAGGTATATGGGCGTTCCTGGGGGGCAGCTTTGCATTCATAACTGTAGTGACGTTTGACTGTTGTCAGTACCAGCAGAAGTATAACTTATTGACGAACGGAGACTTATCTCTTTTCAAACATTTTTGGCAGAGGGTACTTGGAGTGGCTTTAGACGGGCCACGTAACCCTGGGACATTGCGATACCGGTTCATCCCAATGCTTGCTCCAATGAGACTTGCACGAATAGTATCAGACCTGGCGCACGAGAGCTAGCTGGCGCAGGGAGATAGGAAGACAGCAAATGCAGCTGAGAAATCCCGTTCAGATGGCTATGGTATTTCAGTGATATTCACCCAAGCATAACTTGCTGTTTGTTTGCATATCACAGCCCGCTCTGCAGCAGTTCCACAGTGTGTCTCTTTTCCTTCCTGTTGTCCTCCGGATCCTCACAGAATCTCAGGCGTAACCCAACCTGGGATGACTAAGCCAGCCCTGCGCCATTACATAATCAGCCGTCCCCACAGTTGCGGCCGCCAAGCCACAGCCCAACTCTCATCTTTATCAACTTTCAGCACTTCCTCCTCCTCCTCGTCCTCCCTGGTCTCCCCACCGCCGACATTCCACCTGCGCCGGTTGTTTGCTGACAGTGACACCCGCTGCTATCTGCACTGGAAGGGAATTTTTGTCCCTGCTCAGTATGAGCTTTGTGGTTTAGGCCTCCCGCTTGCCAGTTTTTACAACCAGACTCAGCCTCAAAAGAGAATTCCCACTTGCTACCCGGCCTCTGCTTTACCTCCCATCTATTGTCTAAATTCTATTTATTTTGTTCAGTGACTTCCATGGCGAATATCCATGTCCAGAGATATGTCGTCTGCTTGCCCGGACTTGTGCGTGGTGGCTTTTTATATTGACCTTGTTTCCGCTATATGATCACCGTGGGACTTTCTGAGAGCCACACTGTCAGTGTGTTACAGCCTTTTGAACTGGACCAGCATTCACTATATTCTTTTTCACAATGGCTTCAAACACAGCGCAACTTAATGGTCAACTATCATTCGCAAAGGTGAGCTTCTGTGCGGTTGCAACTTTTTTCTCCTTGGGCATCCGCGCTTACACCAAATTTGTCAGGTTGCGATGATGAACCCGCCTCTTGACCAGCGTAGTTTTCCACACCATCAGGGGACGCAAAAAAACGAGTCTGTTGCCGACGTACCAATTCCTCACGATCCAGTGACCGGTGGAGCTTCGGGCCAACGAGATCTACGACATGGCGATACGGACAGCGTGCACGTGGATGAGCTGTCTAAAGGGGTCCAAACACTTCACTTGGTTAGGACAGAGGAAGCGGCAGATGGCTTAGAGACGCCTGAAGAGGACGACCATTTGAAAAACGAGGGCGCGTTTGATGACGACCAGACCCACTTGTCTAACTCTTCTACGAAACCTACAAGCTTCGATTCCAAGAGCATGGCTTCGGTAACGACGTTCGCCATGGATGAAAAGGAGTCGTTGCGGCCCGATGATAGCGCAAGTGTTCAGGCTATTGAAGAAGATGACATTTCTCTACCTGCTTCGGGTGCTCTCAATTCCCAAGCCGGTTCGGAGAACAGTGCCCGCGTAGACCGCGTCAACCAACTGGCTATGTCCCAACGACTTTCTGGCATGGCCTCAGTCAATGTTTCACGACTAAACGAAGGCTTGAAATCTCTACATCATGATCCAGCTATTAATCCTGTGAACGAGCGGACTCTCCACGGGTTTCCGAATGAGCCAGATGAGAAACTGCTTGAAGCGATGCGTTCCCCAAAAGACAGGTTACTTATACTTCAGCTCGAAGAGAAAATCATTTGTTTTATCAAGAACCCTAGGTTAGCTTCGTGTTACTTTCCCATTATGTCGACACTGACAACCATTATAGTGAACAATCTTTAGAGCTTCCGCCCTGCAACGCTTTCGGGCGCCTGCTCGCTCATAAGTTGGGAGATTACTATCATTTGACACACTTTGTGGACAATAATGTAACGTCTGTCCGTCTCCACCGGACGCCGTGGTGTAGGCTGTAAGTGGATATATCCGGCTCACTATTCAGTTACACTCTCGAAGCTGACTTAGCTAGACCTACCCCTCTGTCGGCACTCTACGCTGCAAATGCCATGAAAACCCCGCCGCCAGTAGTACCAGCAATGAAAATAATGCGCCGTGCTGGCCAACAAGGAACGTCATTTTCCGTTGGAGGAAGTACCGCGCCTAGTTCATCGGTACCATCGAAAACCGCGTCGGAAGTAGGAGCGGAAGGATCTGGTGAAGATGGAACGGAATCATCAACAGCAGCCACACCAGCCAAAGAACGCCAGGCTTTGACGCGCGAGGAGCGCGAAGCGAAGTATCAAGAAGCTCGTGAAAGAATATTCAGAGATTTTCCCGAATCCAAATCCTCAGATAGTCCCAACAGCGGCGAACACAGCGCGAATGTCTCTAGGTCTAACTCAAGAGCTGGCCGTAAGAAACACAAACAAAGGACGCCACATGACGATAGTTTCGAGGCGAGGTCGCAATTTAGTACTTACTATGGCGGTGTTCAATATTCAAATGCGCAGTTACCGTTCACAGGACCCGTGCATGACCCTTCGTTCATCCCGCAAAACAACTACATGTTGGGGCAACCGCCTTCCGCCGGTTTGAATTTCGGGCAGGGCAATCAGAACACTACCATGTATTCACCCCAGGCTAATAACACTGGGTTTCCGCATTATCCAATGGGTATGGGACCGCAAGGTGGCTGGCAGAATGGACATATTCCAGCTCAGTACGCAAACTTTCACCAGGGCGCCCAACTCCCAATGATGTCGCAGCAGTCATCTACGAGATCGTCGCCAGCGATGAACTCCTATGCTCTTCCCACCGGAATGCAATATCCACAATCCCCTCCGACATGGACACAACCTCCTTACCAATCTAACTATCCCTCTCCTGCGGTGCAAAGGAACCCTCAAGCCGTACACTGGCCTAACCTACCGCCTAATCCTGTCTCTTCCACCCAAGTGGTTTATCCATATGGCCAATCTCAAAACCAGACGTACTCTCAAATTCCTCCTAGCAATGGTTCCCAGCATCCCTTACCCGGGAGTTTCGTGCGCTCATCGTTTAATCCGCAAAGCAGATCCTTCGCTCCGGGCGCAGGAATCTCTCAGCCATCTTCTCAGCCGTCTAGTAGTCATCCCGCATCTGCTTCCCCTTGGGCGGCGACTCTAGACAATGTGAACCGATTTCAAGCTAAAAATCTGGGATCTCAGGCTAATAACAGAGGTTCCACCTCTACATCATCGGGAGCGGGAAGACAATCCGACAATAAAAACTCGATTGCGAAGTGGGGTACACCATCTCATCTCCCGCCAAAGCCTCCCCCGTCAGAAGTTCCTTATGACTTTGATCGGATGGCGCGAACCTCAACATCATCTTCTCAGGCTTATACGAATAATACTTCCACTCTTCCAAAGCCAGTGACATCAAAATCTGGCCCTTTGGTTGTGGGTGGCACGGCTTCTCAAAATTCTCGATCTCATGGAACCTCAGCCTCGGCGCTGTAACGGCTTCCTTGCATACTTAGGTATCTTATTCCTACCCAAGGTATTTTACCTCGCTATCCGTATCTGACGACAAGTGATAGGCGCATCTGGACATCTTCTGGTTATGGGTAATGTTATACATGTCAACATATAGTGCTCATAGGCGGCGTCGCATGGTCCCGGATTATCGTTTACATCTTGCAAAAGAATTGCTACTTTTTGATCCATGGAGTGCTCAGAGGAAATTGCAAAACTTGGCAGATAAGATGTTATAATGTAACTGCATGAAAAGCCTTGTTAGACTTGTGGCGAATACTCGCTTCCTGTATCTGCACCCTGTGCATCCGCCTGTTTCCCTGGCTTGTTTCGTTTACTTCTACCCGCCCAAGCTCGAGAGCTAATAGCAGGGGCGTGGGAGCTTACATGTGGTCGAGTTGATGCTGCTAGGCATGGAGATAGTAGCGTTAAGGTCTCACTAGGACAAGTAATGGAATTTGAGTCATGATAATGTACATTGTTTCCAGCTTTGGCTCAGTCTATGAATCATTATGATAACCAGGTTGCTGATCATCGTTGAACATAACCCCCGACCGGATACAGGGCAGAACCAAAGCAATAAATGAGGCATCACTCCCGAAACGCCAGCTATACCAAGAACAAGTTACATCCGCTTCAGCAAGGGGAGCGAGATCCCCCTTTCCCCCATCTATTTCACAAACCCTGCGTCCGCAGATTCTCCTCAGCCTTCTGAACCTCCTTCTCCAGCGCCTCGGCGCCATCCTTCCTGTACCGCGTCACCTTCTTGACATTCCGTTCCGTGAACTCGTTGATTTCCATGCCCTGTGCCCGACGTCGAGCGACGGTTTTGGCGGTCATGGCGAAGCGCATATCGCGCGGGCCGTCGACGAGTTCGAGGATGGCGGAGGGCGCTTGGTCGGGTTTGTGGGGCTCGATGCGCAGGACGCGGGTGTAGCCGCCTGGACGGTTGAGATAGCGGTCACGGAGGGGGCCGAAGAGTTTGGGGAGGAGCTCATGGGGGGTCTGGGAAAGTTTCGTGGTGGGTTAGTAGATGCGTGGCTAGCAATGCATGGAAGGGCGGCTTCTTAAAGGAAGTATCCCCCGGTTGGAAAATGAGGGAGCCGGGGGAAGCAAAGACGTACGAAGAAAATAGACAGAGCTCTTCTCTTGCTGGCTTCGGTGTTCTTCTTTCCAAGGGTGATCAGCTTCTCAGCTAGTCGCTGTGCCTCTTTGGCCTTGGCCCAGGTTGTCGTGATGGATTCATGCGTGAAGAGGGAAGTTACGAGATTTCGGAGGAGAGCTTGTCTGTGCGAGGATTTTCGGCCTAGATGGCGATATTTCATTGCGCCGCCGGCCATGTTGAAGGCGGATTAGGAAATTTTCGGCGCCCGGCGCGCAAGGGTTATGTAGGCCGGATTGGAGGGGGGAACACAATTGAGGTAGCCGATGACACTCGGACTGGAATTGATAGCAGTTTGGGTCTATGGAATAAGCTGTAGGATGAATTGCAGCGTGAGAATTGCTGTCCAGCCCGTCGAGATAGTCAGAACGATGAGAGGAAGATTGGGAAAGTTGACAAATGCCGCTAGTGAGCTTGCGGGCCCAATCGGAGCCGAGAACTGGAAGAGAGTCAAAGCTCACCACCAGCATCAAATGACGGGAAACGCACTCTGGCAATGTCTGTCTCTGGCTAGATACACGTTTGATCAACCCTCTATGCGGCGTGTTCGTGCTCTTTGATAAAATGGGATTTTTCACCGGCTTCGTATGTCCATCTCCCCTCCACCTGCCCAGCAACACTACGGACAAGATCCTGCAGCTTACCGCAAACTCAGCTGGGAGGCTTCACCCTCACGACCTCCATACTCTACCTGACCTTACACCTCCATCTCGCAAGCCGGACTCACCAACACAGAGTCTTACGGGAACAGATTGACCTTCTCAACACACTCTCCCTCCCAGCAACGGCCAGAAATGGTCTGATTAGAGACGGTGCTGCTGCTGATGTGATGGCTCGATGGGGTTATTTACCTCGCGAGAGACCTGGGATCATGGAGCTAGGCAAGGAGAGATGGAACCAGGAAGTCAAATTGCTTGTCAGGAGAGCGCAGGAGATAGAGTGGGGTGAGGTACAGGAGAATCTGCATAAAGCATGGCAAGCGGCACGGAATCTGGTCAAAGACAACTGAATATTGGTAGTTTGAGTTGGTTGCTAGCTATATTTTTAAAAGCTATGATACCCCTTTGTACGAATAGCTTGGGATTGCTTGGTTGCCTATATGTCCAGCGCCAGGAATATGGCTCTGCTGTCATGGAAACGGTGTTCATCTACTTGGTTTCAACTCGTCTCTCTCTTAGCTGAAGTTCCTAGCCTTCCGTAGACGGAATGATAGACCGGATTGTGATGCCGTGATTTGTTCAAGGGCGCAGATATGGCCTGCTACGCATGGGTCGCGGTACTGAACCTCTGATCCCAGTGTCCTCGGTGAGTTTGTCAAGCTGACGATTCAGTGTCAATGACCTTGGTAGAAGCGGAAGACGTTATCTCGAATCGGTAGATTCAGCCATCTGGCACTGCGGAGCTGATACTTTCGCTCTCGCTCCAAATCTCTTTGCTCTCACGCTCCACGGCCCGCATAGCATTGGCAACCTCATTGAGTTTCGCCACAACGTCCAAGACACTGTTATTCACCCGTTCAAAATATCGGTCGTTGGCCTCTCTCCTCTTCCTTGCGAAGAAGATATCCTTTTCCGTCTTCTCATCCAACACGTTATGAGGCGAACGGTCTTCTGTTTCCGTGGACGCACGCCCTACAGACTCCGGTCCTTTCATCCCAGAGTCGCTCGCCGAGCTCTCGACCACTTCATCTGCCTCACTTCTCGCCCACGCCTGCGCCAACGCCAACTGCTTAACCCGCAGTTCCTCGAGGGCTCTGGAATGCTCTGCACCAAACACATGGTCTCCGCTTGCGGCATTCAACTCCACCTCGGCGAGAGTGCTCTGCATCTCTTCCCACACGGCGTCCCCAGAGTCGATTTCGGCCTGACCGCAGGATCGAGCGGGGCGAAGAAAGGGTGAACCTAGCTCCGGAGCAGCACCACGGAAACTTTTTGAAGTGCCATGGCGCACCGAAGAGGCCTGGGTCCCTTTTATGGATGACGCTCTACTGGCGGACCCTTGAGGTAAGTTGAGGAGACCGGGCGGGAGGGACAGATTCGAAGCGTTGTGAGAGGGCGGGCCCTGGAAGAGAGCTGGTCGAGGGGGGCGCTGGTTTGTTTTGCTAGGCTGTAATGTCATTTTCACAAGAAACCATCCAAGCACTATTCACGCTGGCAGTTAGTCTGGGTCGACGCTGCTGATGTTCAAATGAAGGGGAGCTCAAGTCGCGGGCCCCGGATAAATGAATCGCCGGGCCGTTCCGAAACTCGCTTAGCGTTAGGGCGGAGGCGAGCGACATCCACAGTCAGGCGCAGTTTGGAAAAATCGACGACAGCGACCTCATCCGCCCTCGACAAACCAACCCGGCTTCTCAACCCGCCCGACTTTGCGATAGCACGCGAATCGGTACGTAACAGCACCTTTGTCCCCGGGCTCTTCAGCCTCTCCAATTTTATCCCCTCCTCAAGCGTGGAAAACTTACTCGTTCCGACATTCACAGCAAAAAAAAGACTACCCTCCATCGACAACCTAGAAACACGTCAACATGGGTAAAGGCAAGCCGCGCGGTCTCAACGCCGCCCGCAAGTTGCGCACCCACCGCCGCGACAACCGCTGGGCCGATCTCTCATTCAAGAAGCGCCTCCTCGGAACCGCCTTCAAGTCCTCGCCATTCGGTGGCTCCTCCCACGCCAAGGGTATCGTTCTCGAGAAAGTCGGTGTCGAAGCCAAACAGCCCAACTCTGCTATCCGAAAGTGTGTCAAGGTGCAGTTGATCAAGAACGGCAAGAAGGTCACTGCTTTCGGTGGGTCTTCTTTTTTACAATTCACCTATGGGGGGTCACGGGAACTTTTGCTGGTTGAAAGTAGGAACAGAGGGTGCTGATATGTGATTTGATATGAATTAGTGCCAAATGACGGTTGCTTGAACTTTGTCGATGAGAACGACGAAGTACTCCTCGCTGGTTTCGGTCGTAAGGGCAAGGCCAAGGGTGATATTCCCGGTGTCCGATTCAAGGTCGTCAAGGTTTCCGGTGTCGGCCTCAGTGCTCTCTGGAAGGAGAAGAAGGAGAAGCCCAGATCTTAGATGATCCCAGGGGGGTGCCGGGGTTGGGGGAGTGTTGGAAAGCGAGATGGCAGGGGAAGCATGGCCTTCATACCGGCTGGAACTTGTGTGGGATATTTTCCGTGCTACAACTACTATGCCCGAGTGGATGATGAAATCGCCCAAGACATGTAAACTGGTCTGATGGCTGTGATAATAAAATTCCAGCCCCATGATACAGGCGGAATTCATGTTGATTATGGGGGAACGGTAGCACAGATGGAAACGCCGGTAAAGAATAGCTCGCTCCCGCTTTTTCTATGATAATGTTTCATAAAATTTCTGAATGCCATTTGCATCATGATTTCAAGTTTTGAGCCTAAATACTGCAATCACAAGTTGACATCCTCACTGCGATAGTGATCCGCAACAATTCGGTACAGATACGACGGTGCATGTCCTCCCCTATAAGTATCTTTTGTCAGCTCTGTTTTAGTAGCGGCGGTACTCGAAGCAAGAAGAAAAAGAAAAAAAAACGTACACATTCGTAATGTAAAGATCGATAAGCTCAGCAGGCACGTAATCCGATAGAGGATTGAGCACGCTGATAGTATCCATCAACTCTCCATCCTCATACGGGAGCACAGCACTCGGGTCTCCGTATTCAACAAGCGACCGATGGTCAAACGGATACACCGGACTCAGCTTGTACACTCCACTCACAACAACCACCGGTGTCTGGTGTGCTTTAGCAGCGTTAGCAATGAGCCGGGTCCCCGCTGCAGCGACCAAACCCCCGTTGGCGAGAACACAGTCTGTTCCGAGAATGACCTTGTTTACCCGGGACATCAGGGCGAATATTGCAGAATCCGGAATCAGTATAACTGTGATGCCTTGGGCAATCAATGGCTTCTGGAACGCTTCGGGCGTTAATCGTTCCTCGTCTCCGCTGCTAATGCCGGTCACTGTTGCATGGGTATCTTCGTGGTTGTTCGGATATGATTCTACTTGGATCACGGTAAATTTCCGCTTCGCGGCGGCTTTAAGGAGGAACTTTTGCACTGTGGTCGACGCAGTGTGCGTGAGGATCACCTCGTTTGAGTGTATGTGCTCGAGCGCGTAGGCGGCGATCTGGTCATTGACCTGGTTGAGTTCTTCCAGGATCTCTTTTATACCATCAAACACTTCACCTCGATAATCCCTCGGCTTGTCATCGCCCGTTTCCGGATCCCCTCGAGATATGGTGATTGGTGAATTAGGGTCGGTGGATTCGGGCGGATATGAAAGCAGATTAAACATGGAGGTTCCCGGGAGCGCGGGAGCGGCCGCAACTGGACCCGTAGACGAGGGTCTCTCAAGCGAATCCAGGTGCGATAGCTTCTCGAGGGCACCACTGGCGTGTGTCGACAGGCGCGCCTGGTTGCTGAAGCTGCCCTGGGGTGGGGTGTGCGGGCGCGTATCGTCCGATCCAGCATCGCTCATCATGCCCCAGTCCCGTTTCAAGCCCTCGGCCTCATCTCTCATCATGCCTAGGACACGGCGGGTGATATTTCCCACGATCAATTGCTTGGGCTGCTCGGACACGAGCCGTCTCCCGATCCGCTTCACATGGTCGATCAGCGTCGCCGGGTCATTGGATTTGTTGGTGTGCATCGCCCGGAGGAGGAGATGTGCTGTGGCCAGCGCGCATGAGTGCGGCTGCTGGATTTGTCGGCGTTTTAGGAGTCTATCATGCTTATCAGTACCGCGAAAGCCAGACTCCAGGGCGGGGTGCGCGCGCAAACGAACGTGATTAGATTCTCCGTCGACGCCTCTACTGTATTTTGCTTTAAGGATTGAATATAGCTCGACAAGCCCGGCGTCATGGGCACTGCCGCTGGCGCCGGCATCTTGGCAGGTTTCTGCTGTTCCGACCGTGACTGTGCTTGCGATTCCCAGCTGGATGCGTTTTGAACGATGACTCAATGTGGAGGGGAAGATCTGTGGCAGAAAAAATGGATTGATTTTGAGATGAGCAACAGCAGTCAGGATCTCTTCTGGACAATTAAAAGGATGTTTAACACAACTGTAACAGTGTCAATGGAAAAGATTCCTTTCGAGCAAAGCTGTTTTGTGAAAGATCATAGTGGTGATCAGATCGATTGTCTTCACTCCATTCCACACCATCACTCCAAACAGCATGGCGCTTGTTAGCACTCAGTCCACTGGTGAACATCTGATACTCTTTACTCTTTTACGAACTCAATTCTATCAAGGAGTCTATTAATCACTCATCATGAATTTGCACATAGGGGTAGATTAACAGATCCAAAAAAGAAAGACGCTAATTTTGGAATGCTCAGCGACCTCGACCTCGCGAGCAAGTCAGTAGCAAAGTACAAGAGATACCATGTCCAGTATGTGGATGGCCAAGGCTCTATTGTTGTTTTCTAACATTCATCATATTGGGAGAAATCTGTGTGAGAATGGGCTATCTTTATCAAGAAACAACTGTTGCCTGACTGCCAATGTTCCTCTATAGTGGACAAAAGCCCAAATGGGTTGCTTCTAATCAGAGGGCTCATCCAGACTCCAGAGAGACACATCCCAAGCAAAACCTATGTCCGCACAGGAGGGCCTTCCACTCTTCAGGGATAGTATAACATATTCGGCATTCACAGTGATGCTCCAGCTTCCTGACATCAGCCTCCAACATGTGGATGTGCTTATTTGTCCTTCTCAGCTCTGCACAGTGTTTGGTTTCCTGCTCAGAGTAGAGCGGAAACTTAGTAAACAAGAGCATTTTTCATATAGTCCTGATCTTTTATGCCTTGGCTTCATGCGGACTAGATTGCCAATCGTGTTAAAGAATGTTGTAAATGCGCATGAATCCACAGGCATACTTGGAGAATAGAATAGTTCACCGTTTCACTCGGAGTCAGTTCTTTCAAGACGGGGAGTCTTTTTGATAGAAAAAATTGCAGCCAGCCTTGCTCCAACTAAAGAGCGGGCAAGGCAAAAAGAGTGCCATTGGAGATAGCAGGGGAACTGGTATAACAAGCCGATGACATTTAGCTAGAGAAAAACCGAATTTTGCCTGGGCTTGGGTATAGGAGGCCGGGCGAGACAAGGAGGCCGCGTTGAGATCAGGCAGTGAATCCCGATATAGCAATTCCATCTAGTATAACTTGTCAGTCATGTCGCTCAGGCTGTTCAATCTCAGCTTGCAGCGATCCGGAGGCAATGCCAAAGCACTGATGCTGTATTCATGCCCTTTGAGAAGCCCTTGTGCGGTGCGATGTTGAACAGGGACGCTGGAATGTGACCGTCGACGGCCGCTTGTTTGGCCCAACAACTCAACCCGCCGCACAGCTCGCTCCCCACATCATCTCAACAATTGAAGCCCGACGCTCTTCCTTCTGCCGACTCGAGGCAGCGCATTGTGTCTCGACCTGTTCTCCGCAAGAACCAGCATTGTCGCATTGGTATGCTCGCAGCTGAAACAACGGCGCCTTGGACACAGCTGAGTCGTTGAGGGGGGTGCAATTCAAACGACGACTGGCGGCGCATTTGGTTTGTCCACGCCTCACTCCTCTCTTCTCGGCGGCTACTCTGCTGGAAACGCAAGCTTTAGATACGGACTCTCACAAGTCAAACATTCGCGTTGTGCAGGCTTGAATTCACCTCTGCCGCCCGACGAACGATGAACTCCCTCAATATCCTCTCGTCCCGCGTTATCGGCCAGACGACGCCCACTTCGCCCGGATCCCGATCCCGTTCGCACTCCCAAGGCCCTGCGTTTTCTGGCAGAAATAGCTTCGCGGAAAATCGTTCCTATAGTGAGGGAAATCTACATGACATCGGCTCACTCGAGGGCTCAACCGAGGAGGAGTTGACTAGCCTTGAGCAACCTAGTGACGTTCCCGCGGACAATGATGCTGGGGCAGAGAAGGTCCCTTTGCTCCCCGGGCTACAAGTGAACGGGAAGATACTGGGAGCCAGCGATCTGCACACAATTGCGCAACAGCTTGTCGAGGTAATTGCGGAAGCATTGTCCTCGATACTGTACACCCTTGCTTCCCCGGCTATTTACATTGTACGCTCGTTTCGTGATGAAAATGGACGATACTCGCCTCTCAACCCCGTCCGGCGGATGCGGTGGACGCGCTCGGAGCAGAGAAGAGCCTCCATACCGGCTCAAGGGCCGGGAGCGAGGAAATCTAGGTCTGACTCCGAGAAAGGCACCGCCAGCTCGAGAAGTTTGAGGATGTATCCCTCCAGAGAGTCGATATCCTCGATATCATCAAATGCGTCGGAATCGGAGACCGATCGAAGAGCGCCTACACCTAGTGGCCGGCATTTGAGATCCAAATCCGAGCAAATACCCAGCAGCGGAGAGGAAGTGACGCCAAGACGTTCAATACGCATCCAGATTCAAAATAACCGCAAGAATAGAAGAGACAAAACGCAAAAGAGGCGAGGGAGTGAACTGAGCGATGCTACAAACGTCGCTGCCGAGAGTCTCAAGTCACCTATATCTCCTTCTATCCATCGAATCACCAAATACCCGCACGCTCCCGCTCCACCACGGCCACTGATCCCGCCACGACAGCCCTCCTACGCCCCCGGATCGAGTTCTGCATTCCCGCAAAAGACACTAGTCCTCGACCTCGATGAAACGCTCATCCACTCTCTCGCAAAAGGCGGCCGTATGTCCAGCGGCCACATGGTCGAAGTCCGCCTGTCCACACCCATGACTACATCCACCACCCTCGATGGGCCGACCACGACCCTAGGCCCGCAGCATCCCATCCTCTACTACGTCCACAAACGGCCGCATTGCGACGTCTTCCTCCGCAAAATCTGCAAGTGGTACAAGCTCGTCATCTTCACGGCAAGCGTGCAAGAGTACGCCGACCCCGTGATCGACTGGCTGGAGCAGGAGCGGAAGTACTTCCAGGGTCGGTATTATCGGCAGCATTGCACGTTCAGGAACGGGGCGTATATCAAGGATTTGAGCTCCGTGGAGCCAGATTTGAGTAAAGTGATGATTTTGGATAATAGCCCTATGAGTTATATATTCCATGAAGGTGAGCCCCCTCATTGACAACGACGTTTTGACAAGTGCATCTGGAGTGGTACGTTAACGGGAGGGCTATTATCGTTAGACAACGCGATCCCGATCGAAGGTTGGATCAACGATCCGACGGACAATGACCTGCTGCATCTCATCCCCATGCTGGAAGCAATGCAGTACGTGACTGATGTACGAGCCTTGCTGGCCCTACGGCGCGGTGAAGCCATGACATAGGATGTTGCCGTGGCTTGTTGAATAGTTGTATATACTGATACTGACATCTCTCATCTTGTTTTCTCGTGTCCTCCTTGTTTTTGAAATCATGCATAAGCGTCCAGCAAGTCTCTTTCCCCGCCATATATCTTGCATTTGTATTTAACAGGGCTGCTATCATCGTCTTTAGGTTGTATTATGCTGCTTCTCTTTGCTCTATGATACACATTTTTAATAATTCTTACTTTTTGATAGCTTGACGGTGCTTTTCCCCTGCTATTATTTGCCGCTTCCCTTAGAACGCTTGGCTCGGGTCACTGTGCTTAACAAAAGACAAAATGTATGTACGATTGTCAGCAAAAGGCAGACGGTCAAGAATTAGCTACGTGTTTGTTCTATCCTTGCGTTGAATCAGCTGAAATCTATGTACAGTACATGCAAAAAAAAAAAGTCTCAAAAACCTGTCATTAAAACAGCCACTATCACGTTCAGCGAGATAAAGAAAGAATACTGCATAGTTGTAGCTTTATTTGGTCACTTCTGCAAGTGCCTCCTTCAAGGCCTGGATGGCCTTGTCGATATCATTCCTCGCAGGATCCATCACACTCACACCCATGTGGCCGAACCGAATGTAGGTGCTCGCAATGTCCTTGTGCAAACCACCAGCGAACACCACGCCCTTCTTACCCAGAATGGGGAGAACATCCGCCGGCGTCAATCCCTCAGGCAATCTGATCGCCGTCATGGCATTGGCCTGACACTCCGGCTTGGCAGCCAGCTGGTGCAATCCCAGCTCGGCCACTGCGCTCTTGACTCGCGCAGAGGCGGCGCGGTGAGCAGCGAAGCGCTCAGAGAGCGGTTTGGAAGCGATCTGGGCCAGAGCGGTGTGCAGTGCTCGGACGAGCTGTGTCGCCGGAGTCGCAAAGTAGGACGGCTTACCGGCTTCGTAGTTTTGCATGATGGGGAGCCAGTTGGCCAGGGAGGCGTAGTAGCTGGCTGGAGGGCATTGCCGGGTCTTGAATCGCTCCATGGCGCGGCCGGAGCACATCACGATGCTGAGGCCTGGAGGGCAGCCAATGGCCTTTTGGCTGGCGGTGAGGACGACATCGATGTCCCATGCGTCAAAGGCGATTTCCTCGCAGCCGACGCTGCAGACGCCGTCGACGACGACGAGAGTGTTTGGGCTGACGCGCCGGACGAGCTCAGCGACGGCTTTGATGTCGCTGAGGACGCCAGTGGAAGTGTCGACGTGGGTGATGGTGATGATCTTGTAGTCCGCTAGCTTCAATGCTTGTTCAATATCGGCGAGGGCGGGACGGTCGCCGATGGGTGCTTTCAACTGGGTGGGCTTCGCACCGTAGGTTTCGAGACAGGCCGCGAAGGAATCGGCAAAGTATCCGCTGTGAAGCACGAGCGCTTCCTGGCCGGATTCGATGAGGTTGGAAGCAACGAGGTCCCAGCCGAGGGTGCCGGAGCCGGCAAGGATGAAGGGCTGGGCGGCGGGAGAGGTGCTCTGGAAGAGCTTGCGGACAAGGGTCAGGGACTCGCCAAAGGTTTTGACAAAGGCCGGGCCGACATGGCTCTCACTTGAGAATGGGTTAGCATGCCACAGTTCGTTATTGGAGAAGGGGGGAAAATTGGAATTTGAGATGAACATACGCGAAATGGGACATGGAGTGCAGCACGGCATCGTCAAACTCAATGGGGCCGGGAATCAGCAAGGTCGGATGAGGAGGCTGGGCCGACATGGTTGCAGAGGGATCCCTTGTCGCTGTCGTCGTCGTCGCCGTGGTGCTGTATCGTCGCAGCGGCTGCTGTTGCTGCTGAAGTTGATGGAGAAGAGGGGCTTCGCGGACAAGCGGTTTATATTCCAAGTCGTCCGGTTCCACAGAGACAACCCTCTCGGTCGAGAACGGCGTGTTCAGAGCGGGCAGCGGCAGCTTCTGATCAAAGTGCCTGGAGATCAGACTCAGACGTTGGCGGGCGGAAGGGCGTGAGGAAGCCAGCGTGACGGCGAGAAGGGGAGAGGCCGCGGGGTAGATCCGGGATGCTGCGAGTCGGAATGTCGCCGCCAGCTTGAGGGATGAAGATCACGACGGGGTCACGGCAGAAGCGAGTGATTGAGAATCGGACGAAGAAACGAAAGAGAGAAGTGTCTTTTCTCGAACTGAAATCAAATTCCGTCGAAATCGAATTCTGGGGATCAAAAAGAATTTTCGGCTGAAATCAATATCAATTAACCTTAACTAACAGCACAGAATAGAACGGATATCAACACTGATGCTCAGACAACAACCCAATCAATATGCCCTTTGACTCTTCCACCAGCTTCTCTCCAGCAGACATCCTGCCGTCAACCCTCGCGCACCTCATCTCCCGCTATCCAGACACCGCTCGTGCCGTGTACCGGACGAAGCTGGAGTCAAAGGCAAAAAACTCCAAGGATGACATTGAAAGGCAGCTCAAGTCCTTTCTAGAGCTGGACTGCTGGCGATATCAAGTGCTGCCCGCCGCTTTACAGGACAGAGCAGACACCACGGCAACGAGGCCGACGAAGAGGACGAAGAGAGCTCCAGATGCCTCAGCCGGCGCTGACGGCCTGCACCTCAACAAGGATGAACTGGTGCAACTGATGGAATGGAAACTGTGCGAGCCTTGATCTCACCCGTCTGCTTATAATGCATACATATACTCAACAAGTTCTCCTCAACGCAGAAAACACGGCTCCTTCAGACCCGCCCTCATGAACCTCATCCGCTCGAACCCAGATTCCCAAATCCACACCGCAACCAGCAACGCGTTCTCCTCGCTACCGACGGCCCTCAAACCACAAGACGGCGATGGCGATGACGCCCTCTACCCTTCCGCCAGCCTCGAGATCCTCACCAAATCCCTCCGCGGCGTAGGCCCCGCCACCGCATCCCTGATCCTCTCCGCCAGCACCGCATCTTCAAGCACCAACCAAGTCCCCTTCTTCAGCGACGAGATGTACTGGTGGCTCTGCTCGCACCGCTACCCACCATCATCCGCATCCAGCCCGAAGCAGTCGAAACCGCCACCGAAGCTGAAATACACCGTCAAAGAATACCGCGAACTATGGGACGCGGCGCGGGAATTGATTGCACGCATGAACACGCTGGACGAGAAACACTCCTTTTCAATGCAAGAGATTGAACAGGCTGCGTTTGTGATTGGCCATTTCGAGCAGTCTGGACATGATTCCCTTGGATCAGAGGTCGTCTTGCCTCCAGTTCCGGCGGCAAAAGGAGACGAAGAAAACACCAAGCAGCGTTCAACAAGCAAGAAAAGAAGGCGTTGATTTTTGTGATTTACGTACTCTAATCTCTCCTTCCTTTCCACGCCTGTTTTATACCCCCCGTAAGTGTATTAGTGAAGAGCATAATCTCAGAACTGTTGTTCATTTATCATCACCATCGATAAAATTGCATATCTCCATACAAACTAGAAATAAAGGGAAAGAGGCCTTTGGGAAAGCAAATCAGAGCGCAATTAAGAAAAACTCCAGCACACAAAGAAAATCTCGCGCAATGTACGGTTGTCCACATCTCTCAGCGACCTCGACGGCTAGTTTTGGAAGCGCTGGGGACTCAATGTCATCAAGGACGGAAGAAGGAAAATCAGCAAAGACATCAAAAGAAACCCACAATCAACATCGTGCAAACTAGAAAAGAGGCAAAGGCACAACTCATAATCCGAAACCTTCCAGTATTTTAGAAAGGTAGCTGTTTCTATATACTATCTGTACATGGATTCGTTAGAACGCAAAAATCGGCTGCATCGCAATCCCTCGCCCATTCCACTGTAGTTCCCAGGAGCGAAGAAATAAACGCGTGATTCTTGTAAACTGCACATCCAAAAAAAAAGGGGATGGGGTGGCTATGTAAATTACTCTTGCCCGAAACCCACGGTTTCTTCCACGGCGATAGACAGTTTGTTCTGCAATGCTTCGTGCGTCTTGTATGGGGGGAGATCAAGTCGGTTGAAACTATAGATCTGGTCAATTGCAGGCTTCTAATTATTGAGAAAGGGAAAGCGGAGTGTACCAGGTGTGGGACTTTGGAAGTGCGTTGATATCCCCGGACTTCTCAATCGTAAATCTTCTGGGTCCATCACTTCCCTGTAAATCCTTGAACCCGTTGACGGGAATACGCGAAGTACCCGTAGCAAACTGCAACAATCTCGACTTTTGTTCAGCATCCCAAGAACGGATAATTTTCCAGAAGTTCTGAATCACTTCATCTTGCTCCTGGTATCCGCGGTAATCCGTATGTTTCTTCCAGTCTTCGACATCAATATCTGCGATACCGCCGATCAGAAGCTCAAGCTCTCGTTCATCGAAAACATTGACAAGATCCGACGGAATAAGTTCATTAAATCCGGCAATAAAGGCGTTGAATTGCTCTTCTACTCGCTTCTGAATCTTCCACTCCGTGACAAGCCTGCATTCCTCGTTAGGTTTGTTTAATAGCTCAATACAAATCAAATTACTTACTCAACATATTGTCGCTTATTCTCATTCGTAACAGCGATATCTCTACCGCCGGGAATTAAGTCAATCGTCTTATGCTCTCCAAACTGCTCATCGTCGACTGCGAAAGTCAGCTCAAACACCCCTTCGATATCGTTCTCCCTGCCAAAAGTTTAGTAAAAAGCATCATCCGAGTTGAATGCCCATAGGTGCAAGCGTACAAGGTCCATGTCAAATTCCGATGGAAGTCTTCGTCAACACCCTCCATGTCCTGCAGGGTGACTTTCTTCCTCAGCATCATCTTGTAAAAAGCGCCAATAAAGAACGAATCCAAAAACCGTCGATGGAATATAGCGAGGCCAACCACCCGTCCTATGAACCTGAAATAATTCAAATGCTCTGGGTTAACGCCAGAATGTGGGTTGATTTGAAGCGTGTAATTATCGTGAGCGGAATATTCAAATAAGCAGTAAAATGGATTAAACATTTCGTGCGAGAGAAGGAAAAAGAATTCACTATACACGTTAGTTTAGAAAGCTGCTGGGTGTTAAACGCCTTCTAGGACTGGACTTACCGAGACAAACCACCGTAATCAAGACCATCCTCTCCATCGAACTTTATCATCAAACGCTTCTTAAGATCTGCAGGACTTTGCCGCATAATCTCCGCATATGAATCTTCGAAAATGGCACCACGCCGTACTTTAACATGACACTGGCCGGACATGATTCTCAGCGCGGGCTGTGACCTGAAGTAAATCAACTTGCGCCGGAAGTCACGTTTATATTGAGGCACGCCCTGGTCAAGCGACGATGGCAATCGAGGATCATCCCACGTTGTCGTCTTCGTATTGTGATCAACAAAGTACACGCGAGCGGTATTCGTGAGACGCATTTCCCAGCCACTTGGCAGAGGTCCGAGTTGAGAAAGTGGTTGAGAGGAAATTTTATTATTCCCGCTCGCCCCGGGTCCATACATGCGAATATACTGTTGTCGACGAGGATCCACCCAAGTAGTCGTTCTAGTGTTATGGTCAACAAAGTATGAGCGGCCTTCGGGGGTATATCGTTGTTCCCATCCTGCCGGAAGCTCGCCAGAACCCGCCGTCGTAGCCCCTGTGGTCATCATCTGCACCGCCGTCGCATTGTTTGCAGCGGGTGGAGTGCGAGCTTCCTGTTGCGAATCCGGCGAATTGGCACCAGTCCGGTCCTCCGGAAGCATTCGGTTCTGATGGGCTCGCCGTTCCATTTGCATGTTGGCCTCTAGCTGGGAACGCTGCGCCTGCTCGCTATAATGGGCTGATGGACGGGACCATGTTGTTGTCCGGGTATTGTGATCTACATAATATGTTCGACCTAACCCATCTTCTCGCCGCTCCCAGCCCGCAGGTAGTCTTCCTTGACCGTCCTCGAAAGAGCTCAAATTTCTAGTATGACTTGGCATCCCATTGACCGGTGGCCCAGTTCCGTTTACTGGGGTTACGGTTGTGGCGGGGGTGGTTGTGGACGGGTTTCGAGAAGGTTGCAGGAGAGAAGAGGGAGCCGTGTTTGTCGTCGGGGTTTCCGCAGCAGATGAGGTTGGGCGTGCGCCTGGAATAGGTGCGAGTGCGGGGAGAGTCGGGGGATGCGGCTGGCTAGGCGTGGTTGTAGCAGGAAGGGTATTGGTATGGGATCTTGGTCCACCCTGGTTTGCTGGGATAGGCGTCGATAGATCGGTAGAGAGATTGATGATTAGTTTCCCATGAACGACCATATTATCGTTGGATTTTTTGAGATCTCTGGAAAGCATTTCTGGGTAGTGAAGCGCCGTAAGCATCCAGGTCGTCACCAGGTCAATCCGGCAAACCAAGGAACGTAAACTTACCGTTGTCACCGACGTCAAGGTCAATCACATCTCCGATTCGGATATTTATCACCCCCAGGAAACCTTGATCCTTCTTCTTAAACTTCTTCTGGTCAAATATCTGAATCGCCAATATGCTATCCTCCGTGACCTTCCTACAACACGAGCATCGTCAGAACCAACGGCCAATACTACTTTGGGGATCAGACATCGTACAAATCAAACATTTCATTCCAATACGGATTCAACGTCTTCTTGATCACAGAAGTCGTATGCGTCTGCTCACCTCCCACCGTCGCCACCGCGAAGGGATCCGGAAAGCCTTTTGAAACACGACCACGTCAGTCTGCGTGTCCACAGACATCATTACGGTAGGCCTTGACACTCACGGAATACATCTCGTTTATACAATCCATCGGCGGCGATAACTGTTCAGGAAACAACAGGTTAACACTGTGACGGCCAAGGGGGGGAAAGGGGGTCGACGGATCTATATGGCGGCATACTTGTCACTCGCAGGTTTGGCCTGTTGCAGAAGCCGATTAGACGTTAATCACACATGGCACCAAGGAAATAGCGGCCTAGGAAGGAAAGCACTCACGCATTTGCAGTCGAACCCATTCTTATGGCAGTATCAGTTGTTCAGTAGGGCCTGTCTCCGTCCGAACAGGTCGGTTCTGGTTGGAAGCCAAGCGCAATGGCTTCGTGAGATAGGGTTCATTCAGCGCGGGGCAAGCAGAGGGACCAAAAGGAATGAAAGGAGTGTTGCAAGACCCAAAGAACTGCAATGCAGCAGTGAGCAAATGCTGATAGAGGACCAGCAAAGACAGGTGTTGTTTGCAGTGGCTTCTTTTTGGTGGTCCGGATATTCTTTGGTTGCTGGATGGATGGTAAGGGAATGGGATAGACTCAGCCTCAGTCCAAACTCACCTAGTGTCTTGAGTGGCGCTCCCCGCTCTTATTGTCCCTGCTGGAACGTGTCGAATGCATCAAGAGCAGCCAAATACTGCCAGACCGAGCGGATGAACAATTAGATGATACAGTGCACGGTGGATTGCTGCTTGCTCCTCCGTCAACAAAGAAAACAGGTGTTGTTGCCGACAAGCTTGTTGTTGCTTCCGGCAGATATGGATCAGTGTGGAGAAGTCGAACATCTGACAAGGATGCAAAGCCACCAGATCAAGATGTCATCAACGCCCAATGAAGATTTTTTCTCCGCCGCTTGAGCTGACTCTTGAAGTCGACAATACGAGTCTTGTTCAGACTTACGGTTGCTGGATTACTCTGAAGCGGAGAAAACAAGCCCTGCCTGTGTCTAAAAGATAAACAATAGAACAGTCTACCTGTCAGCCTGTCGCCCAGCGGCCAACGTATTATGCCCTTCTGCTTTTTAACCCAATATAGATTGCATATAAAACGAAGACTTGCAAGCCAGGCGAAGCCACAGAGTAAAGTAAAACACGGGCTCAGTAGAAGGCGAAAAGTTAAAAGGAAACATCATCGAGTATCAAATAGCTCCAGAAATTCTCCCCTTGTGATTCTTTTAAAATCCCTCTCCCTTTTAAGTGTCGTGACGTATCATACACACACGTTCTGTTCAACTGCGAATCGACCATCTCTCGAGATGGGCATTTCGACCGGCAATTCTGGAGGAGTCGCAGGTGGTGGAATGCACCACCTGCAGGTTTATTGCCTAATACGGTGAAAAGCCCCGGCCCCGACCGCGATACCCGCCGCCCCGGTACGATCCCCGGGGAGGATAGCCGCCACGGCCACCGTAGCCACCGCCGTATCCGCGACCGCCGCGGAAGCCACCGCGCCCACGGCCACGGCTCATGCCAGGAAGGTTGGTGCGTTTGGGAACAACCTATAATCGTAGAAAACGCACATGATTAGCCAAAGCAAAATCGTCAAGGGAGATCGTTGAGCGAATTCACCTTGAGGTTTCTTCCACGGAACACACTCTCGTTCAAAACCAACGCCTGTGCCACCAGGCTGGGCTCACTGAATTCGACATACGCATACCTGCCACACAACCGCCATTAGCACTCCATCTCTTGCCAGGCAGCGATGGCGATAACAAAAGCGGAAAAACACATCTCGTAGACAAACAGGAAGAACAATCAAGGAAGAAGATTTCAAAAAAGGATTCTCCATGGCAATCAAGTCAAGTTTCAAAAAACCCACCCCTTCGGATGTCCCGTAAATTTGTCCAGCAGGATCGTCACCCGGTTTATCGATCCGCAGCTCTGGAAATGAGCCTGAATCTCCTCCGGGGAGGCGCCGTAGTCGACGTTGCCCACGAAGATGCTCCGCGCATCAATATCCTCTTTGTCCTCGCGCAGGTTCTCCGACTGTTTGTCTAGCGACGCTTGCATCTCGCGCAGTTTTGCGGCTTCTGATTCCATCTCGGCGACTCGTCGCTTCATGGCTTCGATTTCTTCCTGCGAGCCCAGGGCGGTTAGCAGCCGAATTCATAGCTAGAAAAGGGGCCCCGAGAGTGCTCCATTGACTTCGATGTGAGAGATTTTAAAAGACCGGGACCAGCATACCTCATCGTCGCCATGCTTGTCATGTGTGTTCATATGCTCTTCGGGTATATCTCCGGTGGTAGCCATGTCGAGGAAGGGGAAAAAAAAAGGTTCAACGGGTGGTCTGAGGATAGATAAGATCGAACGCTGGATAGAGCGCAAAAAACAGCTGGATACTACGGTCTGGCGGGCGCGGACGAGGAGGATTAAGAGGAAGAGAAAACTAGTCAAGCGGCAGATTGATACAGCCGCAAAGATTGACGTCAAAGGTAGAACTGCCCTATGAATAGTTAATTGTTCAAGATAGCGAGGCACCAAAGGCCTTGTCACAGTAGCAGAAAATTGAATGACTTGATTATCGTCAATCAATCAGTTGCTCTGCTTGATGCTGCTGAATGAATCGATAACTGATCGTGAGCTTTGCTGCTGGGCGATGGCCTAAGCTTTGACAAATCAGGGATGGTGGCAATGATCGCCCAGCGGTCTCAACAGCATCAACAACGGGAAGATGTCGCTTGTGGAGAATCTACGTTTCGGAGTATATCGTCCATTTCGATTAATTGCCGTTTTATGATCGCTGTGCCTGGTCCATTATATTTTCACTAATATGCAGGAATACTACCCCTGTATATCGAAGTCCTATGAGAGTATCACGGCATTGACGGAGTAGATTGTCCACCACCGTTGTAAATGATGCGCGATGCACTAGGTGAAGCCGGTCTCAATCGCCAATGTCAGAAATATGCAGTATTAGAATCAAGCCCCTAACCCCCATACTCCAGTACATTATGACAGCTCAGCGGTAGGAGCTGTGAATAATAAAATAAAGAAAAAGGTGAAAAACATGCACCAGACATGCCTCAATCCGCCTGGACGTTCGGTTTCCGATACGACATCTTTTCGACAGACACCGTCTCCGTCCCTTGCTCGTCAGTTCGTAACTGGTAGACGTAAAGCACCAGCACATCACCTTGCACCTAAACCCAAAAGTAAGAAAGACGAAGCTCATCAGCAATTTTGCCAAAACACAAGCCAGCCCAAAGAGAGCAAAAAAGTACTCACATCCATCAAGCAAAAACTAGGTACCACCACCTCCTCCGCACCCCCCTCGGTGGTAAACGCCCCCGTCGCACTCCCCGGATTCACAAAAAACCTCCCCTCCGCCTCAAACGCATCAAACCGATGCGTACTCCCGCACAGTAACACGTCCACATCCATCTGCCGCGCCGCGATCAGCAACGCGTCCGAATCCCCCGGCGGCACGATCGTGTGGCCATGCGTGAACCCGATCCGCAGCGAGCCGTGCGTGATGACCTTGGACAGCGGGAGGTTGGGCGAGTCGACGTCGAAGTCGCCCTTGACGAGCTGCAGGTCGGGGGAGATTTGGCGGAGAAAGTCAAACGTTTCGCGGTCAGTGAGGTTGCCGAGACACAGGATCTGGCCGATTTTACCCGGCGTGAGGAGTTTCTTGAACTGGATGGGGGTAGAGAGGAGTGAGAAGGTGGTCCAAGAGCAATTCGTTTGGAGCAAGCAAAGGAGAGGGGAGGGGTCGAATCACACCTTTGCCGGTAAGTCCTATACCAGTGCAAAACCTCATTAGCATATCACAGCACATGGGCGGAGGGCAAATGCGTTCTCACTGGGGCTCTGTCTGGTATGAAGAGGTCGCCAATCACCAACACCAAGCGGGAGGTCATCTTCAATTCTCCGTGTGTAACTGCCCCTTCAGCAGCCCATTCCTAGAAGAACTTCCTAATTACAGTGAACACAGTGAAAGCAACGGTCCTGCTGAAGCTGCCCGGCAACACCTGAATACCTACACGTGACGTCAAATGCCAAGAACACAGGCGGCATCGTTCCTGGAGCTTGCGATCTCGCATCTTGTATGGAGTAGTTCAAGAAACCATGTCTCTCATGAGTCCACAGAAGCTGAGTTGTATAAATTATCCTACAAGAAGATGTACAATCAAGGTAAGCCCGCAAGAACTCCTGATTAAATCATCAATGCCCTCAAGGAAATTCGTTGCCTGAATCTCTGTCTACAATTTCCCTGAACCCAACTGTAAAGCAACAATAATCCTCCAAGCAGCCCCATGTTTCAAAACATAACAATAAAAGTTCCTCAAAACGCTGTGGGAAGAAAAAGCCAGCAGGTTGCACATTGACCTGCAAGTCGAAGCCACGCTCAAACTCAAAAAGGCAAGCCGAACGCTAGGAGTATCAATTGCATTACGGGGAAACAGGGACCCAGAAATAAGCAGTGAAAAGCACGTATTAAGTAGAATAGATAAAACGTATAGGAGAAAATCGAGTTCGCCAAATGCCATGTGCCAGCAGTCCCGCGGTAAGACCCATCCCTTAGACCAGGTGACCGAGTAGAGATACGAGATGCAGAAAGATTACAAAGGGTAATTGAGGAAAAGCAACAAAAGTATGAAAAGGCGCTTCAGATCTGCCAGGTGGTAGGAAAGGGGAGCCGAGTGCTAGTTAAGAATGCCAACGGCGGGCGAGTAAAATGGCGGTGATAGACTATTTCCGACGCGGTTTCCTGCTCCCGCTCTTTTTGCCCTTGATAGGGGAAGCGGGCGGTGAAACGAATGTAACGTGTTTCGGTTCAGTGGCAGTTTTGATATTCTCGATAGGACCACCAGCCCGGCTGCGTTTTATGGATTTGGCTTTCGCAGGGCTTGTCGTTGGTGGCCGCGACACAGCTGACAAATGACGTTTATGAGGCTCCGAGTAATCAACAGATGCCGTTGAAGAGGCCGATCCGCCTCCACTAGTTTCGAAACTGTCTTGGAACTCGAGATTGTCAAATGGTATGTCATCTTGGCCAGGTTCGGAAGGGCTAGGGCTAGGGCTTTCCGACTCCGAAGGCGCTTCATACTCATCGTCATCACTGACCAGACTTGGCGCTTGGTTCGATTCAAGGGTGTTTGGGCTCAGATTAGGAGAATTGGATTCAGTCATTTCAACATCACCGCCTTCCAACGGGCCCCGTCCGTTTCCCGTGGTTGCCGTCGAAGGGCCGTAAGGAGATCGATAGGGTTGGGAGGCTGGCGGCGGATTCCTCAGTGGTGGTAATGTTCGGACTTTCCCGAATCCTTGGTCGGCTCCCTTGCGACTACTTGGTCGTTGGTTTTGCGTTGGCGAAGACACGGTACGAGCGGGTAACCGGGTGGTACGGAAACCATGATGGGCTTCTCCAACATTAGATGAGGCATCGACGTCCATAGCGTCCTCATCAGAATCGTCTTCCAAACGGTACGAGTCAATTTCTGTTTTCGTTAACGCATCGTCAACCAGGTTGAGGAGATTCAAACCGAGACCCCTCCTCTGCATCAGGGCAGAGAGATGAGGTGTCTGTGGCGAAGCTGTAAAGTCAGGACTTGTTGCAATGTTCCGTATCCTTGGCTGTGTGACATTGGGTGATGAGCGGGATTTCAGCATAGAGCCGTCGCCTTTTGCACGAGGAGTATTGACAGCCTTGTCTTCACGGTGGGCTTTTGATGGTGTCCGTTTTCGCATAGCATCCCGTGCCGTAGAATCTAGAATGTGAGCGGACCTAATCAACGGGTGAACATATCCTGGAGGTGCGTTGGAGATCGGTTCATTGGTAGGCAATATTACTGTCCCGGATTCGTCGACTTCTACCGGTTCACCGGATGCTGCAGCAGCAGCGTCATGGCTAGCGAAGCTGCGATTATGTGCTATCCGGCAGTGGTTAATGAATCCTTGCGTGTTGGAGAAGTTGTCTCTACGGCAATCCAGGCACACAAGTTTAACCATTTTGCCATCAGATTTCCGTTTGATAATCATTGGCCCGGCTTTATCTTTGGGTGGAGGGTAACCGTTAGAGAGGGCTTGTAACTTTGCTCCCGCCGTGCTTCGTTGCGACCGCGAAGAACCTTCAGCCCATGATCCACGTGTTGTGCGACCTTCAAGCGGGCCTTTGCTCGCGCCATACATCGCAGACGGGAGGGGTTCAGGTTCGCCACCATCAAAGCGAGGATCTGGTAGAAGCCATTTTGCATAATGGCGACTGTACGGTCCATCAGTAACACCCCATGGTGATGGAGAGTCAGGCTGTCGGCCATTTTCAGGCCGTGCAACCGCGAATCCAGTACCCTGACTGACAGATTGCGCCAAACCGCTGCAGGCCGGGTAAGGAATTTCAGAGCAGCGGCGAAGCTGGTCCAAAGCAACTTGGCACTTTGCTATTTCTTGGTCGATAAGCCGCAACTCGTTGTGTTTGAGCAGGACTTCAAGGCTAAGCTGGGCCTCTAATGTTTGTCGCAACGTCTCGACATCCATTTTTGGTGACGAGAAGGTCCTCGGAGTATGTTCTACGCTTTGCGATCCTGGCCCTTGGCTTGCCGTATCTTTCCCTTCTCCCTGGTTTTCGCGTGAGGTGGTAATAGGTTGGGCCGCCGCAATCCGCAGGCACTTTTGCTGGAGAATCGTGATTGTGCATAGCGGTTAGATTGTTTAGGTCGGGGTTAGACTGTTGGAAGGGCATTGCCTTTTTCATCGGCGAAATCATGCAATTATCGCCCCGTACAGTTCCCAAGTCACCTGAATTTGTCCGTTTTCGCTTCAACTGGTGTGGCGACGACCCTCCCACGTTAGGCGACTGCTGTTGCGGCACAGCCAGCATCTTCACCTCCTCCGCTGTCACCTTATTACCCCCAATAGACCAAGGGATCAAACGAAACATTCCATACGATAGATCACCTTGTCGCGGCTCGTCGCGCAATGCCGCTGATGTGAAGAAGACAACCACAGAAAGGTCTCTCTGGCAGCTATTTTACTATCGCAGTTGTCGCTGCCACCGGTTGAGTAGGCAGGCGCATGGGTTTCGTTCGTCTCGACACCAAAGTCGCGTTCTCGGAAGCCAGGGGGAGGTGACGTCGGAAGGTTGCGGCGTTTCAGGAGCGGATCGGGTGGCGAGAAACCCGCGATATCGAAAAGGAGGGAGTTGTCTCTTTTTTTTTTTTGATCAAGCAGGGAGGATGTCAAGTAAAGGAGGGTCCGCCTCCATGAGGATGTCAGGGGAGTCGCGGAGTCGAACGTTGCCGACACGCAGATGTCAGGGTTGCGGGTGAACCGGGCTGAGACAGTCGGAGTTAACTAGGGTGTGGAGACCACGCAGAACGCCCAGATGTCTTAGCAAGTAGAATTGACGTATGCGACGCGAGACGCCGAAATATTGGAGAAATGGGGTGACTGCAAGTAGTGAGCGGTTTGGTGGTGGTGGTGGTGTTGGTCGGCGGCTATCGCAGAGGAATCGTGACGCTTCACGGTGCTCTTGGTGTGTTGTCCCAGGCACGACGGATCAGTGAATGGCGGCTTTTAGTTAGTCAGATCAACCTTAGTTGGACTGTGCTGGGAACGGAACCAAGGAAAGAAGGCGTCGAGAGAATGGAAGTTCCTCGATGTCTGAAAGAAGGGAGGAAGGGCCCATTTGTCCAAAGGCGGTATGGGCCAGCGGAGGTGGAAGAGTCAAAAGGCAGCACTGCGAGAAGATGCAGTTCTCGATGCTTCTCGCCTTGCTTTCCTCGATGGTTGATGAAAGGAGATGAAGAGGAGCCACAATACAGTTGCTTACAGGGAATAATACGGGCCTTTCCCGCGCTTGACTCACCAAGTGCATTACTCAGCACGGTTTACGCGTATTTCGATACAATGTTTCAGTCGCGGCAGTCAGTTACCAAGGCGCTAGTATCGGCTAGTAAGGTCCAGGCACCACACTTGTATTTTGCTGCCAAACTTGCATTAAGCCTTATGAAACACAGGCGGAGGGCGCCGTCTCGACCATACCAGACAGTGACGGGATGGGATTACACCCTTTCAAGGCCGCACCGTTACATTGCGGTCGCCTTTGTGCTTCGTGAGAGGGGTCCCCATCTGCGGGATGATCACATTTCTCGTCACGCCGGGATGGGTACGGAGGATTCTCCGGGCGAGTGCAACTTGCTCAGGAAGCATGTCGCCAAGCTTGATGCTTCGTACATCACTGGATCTCGCCCCACCGCTGTGCGTGCCGCCAAAAGCAATCACGCCAGCCAGGCACGTGATCTTCAGATCGCCGCCGACGCTGCCATAGCTGTATATCGAGCTTCGATCTGTGTAGTCACCCTCATTGACAAAAGATGGATTTTTACAAGAACCAAAGTGTCAACGAATTTCGAGCCGATCGCGAAATCATATTTCTGAAGCACCCGTTTATCATAAACAAACACATGTCAATCAAGTCGTAATGCCCGGCGTCTTTGGCCGATATTCAAAATCAAAAGCAGAAAGCGATTTTGGTAAACTCTCGGTGGTATCTGTCGCAGTAAAAAGTCCCTCCAAAAACAATAATATCCTTGTTTATACTCGCTCCCAGGCCGTACGCGTTTGACCGTACCCAACCGGTAACCACAACCGATCAAGGTTTGGATGATGCACCCTCCTTCAGTCTCAGCACCAAATTCACAATCACCGCCGCAAATAACGCTACCGTAAGCACTGTCGGACCAAATCGATCATCAAAACCGCTCTGACCCCTCTTGCGAATGCTCGTCGCCCGCCAATGAAACGTCACAAGCGCATATATCATTGCGGCCATGGCAACAAATGTGAAGCACGCAGCGCTGATTTGACCAACGCGATCGCCGAAGTTTAGGAGGCCGAGTGCAAGGCCACCGAGGATGATGGTGAAGTTGAGCCATGACAGAAATGTGCGTTCGTTGGCGAAGAAGACTTTTGGTTCAACGCGGGTGGGAAGTGCGATTCGCTTGCCTGCGACAGAGTTTTTGTCAGGCGATGTTGTAATAAAACGGGAATGCTGGGTTTGAAATGGCTCACCTGGGGCAGATTGAAGGAGGGGTTGGCTGGACATGATGACTTCTAGGACCGTAAGTATACACGATATAGGAGGAAGTGAAGTAGAGTTCGAGTTGGATTGGATAATAATATGAATATTGTTAGGGAATTGGCTGCAATGCTAAAAATACCATTAAAAAACAATGCAGCCTCATCGATTGCAAGCAGTTTAAAAATGAATTGTGCAGTCCTCATCGGACAAGAAAGCTGCTGCTCGTGATGGCTAAACCGAGCTCGGCTGTTTGCCACTGAGCTCATTCTGCTAGACACCACCGCCCTTGGGCTTCACGTGCTCGACAGGCGCCGCTGATTGGACCCAGCTCCAGCATCCATTCCATGAGTTTCTTGGCGGTGCCTCGACTTGTTTTCAGTCTTAACTACGGAGTAGGGGCGACTTGGAAAAGCAGAAGCCACCATTACAGATAGTATCATCACTATCATCCTTCGCAGTCAACAATTTCGAGGACTATCCGTCATAATGTTGACAGAATTCTTCATCCAGCTGGATCTCATCTGCCTATTATATGACCAAGGTTCTAAACTTTTTGAAGCAAATGCTGTGCTGGAGACCGGAAAGATCGTAGTGCTGCCGAAGAGCTGTTCCCGTTTAACAGAATGCAAATCAAAAAGGCAAACAAAAAAAAGGGCATCGAGTTACTTCAAGCTATTTTCAGTGTAGCATTAAGTTGTATCTAAATCTCATTCCACGGCCTCAAACCCATATCAAGCACAAGACCTCAAAATTTCCGCCAATCTTCTCTGACTCTGTCTTCCACTTTGAGCGCCATTCTCGAATTGACAAAAGAACTCAGGGAGCCCTCTGGAATATTAAGCAGGAAAGGAGTTGCATATCAATCATCGATTTATTGATGGATTCAACATAACCTCTAGATCTGATTATGTAACTAACTAACTAATTTCCTCTCGTTAGTTAATCGACGTCACCGCAGTTGCAGGCGGGTTCAGATGGGATGGCTATTTGTTATGTTGACTGTTGTTGGGCTTCTGAAAAGAATCTGAACAGCCAGCTTCACCAACCCGTTCACCTCTGCTCCCACTGAGAGTCGACCACTTTCTCTGGATCGAACCTGGAAACCTTCCCTCGTACCACACTTTCGATATTTACCTCTTCCGCCACCATGACCGTCGAAGCTGCACCAAACAATTGCGTTCGTCTACCTCCTCTCGCCCGCTTCATTCAGACAGTTAATGATTAACTCAATGCAGCCGGTTCCGCTCGAGGAACTGTCAAGAATTGCGACAGAGGTATGCTCCGATATGTTCCCCCAAACTTCCAGTCAATAAGTTGTCGCTCATACACCGGTTCGAACTCGTCTGCAGGCATGCGACACGGCGCTAGAAGGTGTTAGTAGCTATGACCATGACCAAGTCGGCCAATGGAGCTCTCAGATCATCGTACGTCCAAGCCGTCCTCTGCCGATATCCCTCGATCGATTACCACCAGTAACACTCTATTAACAACCCCTCCCTTGGGCGCAGAACAAAATCCTCCAATCGCTCATATCAGCCACCACATCCAACGACTCCACATCCTCCCCTTCCCCTTCGGATCCCAAGCAACCCTCGTTCCGCTTCACCGTGAACTGCACCATCATTCAGCAAGGCCTTACCGACCCGGTGCCCTCAGGTTCCAGCCCAGACCCAAGTTCCAGAGAAGCCACAGGCCGCCGCGGCATGCACGCGGCGTCAGGCGCATACTGGGATGTCAAGCGCGATGGGATGTGGACGTATAAATACACGAATGGCATGGAGAAAGGACTGGATCTAGTTTTGAACATTGTTTGGTTCGGTTCGCTGTAAAGCTTTGGAAGGGAGCGGTCGAATATATTGTCGTCATTTTTTCTGCCTTAGGTAGATTCCTCTCTCGATAGATCAAGATTGGGGCGCGGAAGGAGGAGCCTTTCATATGAAAGCCTTTGACGCGAGAGTTGAAATTGGAGCGACATGATATACCTTTGATATACAGAGCAGATTGAAACAAAGCGATCTTTTATATACCAATAGCATTGAAAGGATCACGGAAAGCTCCCTGAAACATACAAGTGTGCGGATGCTATTAAATTCCGAGCTCAGATTATGGTAAGCCAGCTGCCTGAAAAAACCACTCTTACTCTGTTCCCAAAATGCAATCCATAATATAGGAGGACGATGCAATTGCGAAATATTTGGCCTTCCAACTTTCCTCAAAGCGCGATCATTAAATTACGATCCATTCCAACGCCATGGCTGAAGGGCAGCGTAACAAATTCAAAAACCCAGAAACCGCCGGCAAGCGACGGTGAAATCGCGTTCAGAATAAAGAAAGAGAAAAAAAAGGTATCATAAATACAAGGGAAAATCCACCTACACACTCAAAATTTCCTAACGCAGGACAAGAGCCTCATGATGGGAATCACCTCGGTTCTGAATAGTCGTTCAATGCAACACATACTGCTCCCCGGTGGTGTCCACTATATTGTCGGATAATCTGGCCCGACGAAAGTTCCCACAAGCGGGCATAATGATCACTGCACACCGTAACAAGATAGGCGGAGTCAGCAGAGAACGCACAGTCCCAGACCCAGCGTTGATGTACAGCTAGGGTAGTTTCGAGATAGAGTGTGTTGGTGGTTGGGTCTATTGGGGGCGCCAGCGACTGGGCAGCCGAGTCGTCATTTTCCGTTGAGCCTTGATCGTTGAACTGTCGATGGTTTAGACTCGTAAGAGGGTCGTCAAGGGAGTCTAAGCCTGGACCATAGCCAAGTGATCGATCCACGACTGTGCGGTGGCTAAGCGTTGCGGCGGAGACGCCGTTGGTCAACTGGACTTGAAGCATTTGCGGTTGGCCGTTCGGTGTTGGGGTTTGTTCTGCTGGGGTTAGGTTCGATTTCTGCGCATTCTCGTCTATTGTAGCTCGGGTCTCCACGGCCGCTTTCGCCGGTAAGTATTCCGGGTCTAAATTCCAAATCCTCGCTGTATGATCTGCCGAACATGTTGCTAAATGTTTGACATCAGGGGATAATAAAACTCTTGTTATATAGTCTTTGTGCGCCTGGAACTTGGCAATAGGAACTATCTTGGTGACATCGCGATCTTGAACCATTCGCCAAAGGTAGACGTTTCCCTAGAAGGAATACTGTTAACATTCTGGGCATGAGCATAGTCTTAACCGTTCAAAGTCGACCGTACCTTATTGTTCCCAGCACAAAGCAAAGAACCATCACTGGCAACGCTCACGCTTGCAACAGAGACATCTTCTTCCGGTATTAGCTGGTGGCTGCAGCGGTTCTCCCCCAGATCCCAGACTCGGATCGTGCCGGAATAATCGCAGCTGATGAGCTCGCCCTGATTTGGGTGGATCACGACATCGTTTACCGGAGACTTATGATTGTAATTCCTCTGAAGCGAGCCGGACCGGGTCTCCCAAACCTTTACTGTACCATCCTCCGAGCTCGTGACCATCCACTTGCCCTCGCAGTGAAACGCAACTCCAGTAACGTTGTTGGTGTGGCCATCAAAGGTCATCACAGCATCGGGAATGTTCGACTTGATGTCGTAGAGGTTCACGCTGTGGTGACCTGCTGCGGCAATATACCGCTTGTCGGGGGTAATACATAGTCTATTCACTTGGGATGACGGGTGTTGGATGGTCCTTGAGCATATCCCCGAGAGAGCTTCCCAGAACCTAGGAAGATCGCGGTGTAAGTCTTCAAGATCCCAATCACTTATTCTAAGGCGGTCTGGGGAGTTCCACTGCTTACCGTATTGTATGGTCATAGCCAGCTTAGCAATGTCGACATTAGTCGCAGTGCCCCACGCGTATGCTGAAGGGCCGACTTACCAGTACAGAGAATGACACTCATTTTGAATCAGCTAGTTGCTAAATGTCCTTCCTTTAAAAATAAAATCATAGGAGATAGAAAAGGCATTGGCGGTTCTGCCCTGAAAGTGTTAAATATCTCCCTCAAGGATTGCGCCTAGGAACCTCTGGCACCAAGCCGGCTCCGATAACGATAAGGGACATCATGTGACTCGCTCGCCTGTTCCTCATGTGGACCGGAGCTATTCTGAATAGGGCTTAGCTGCTTTGAGGGAGGCATGCTTACATAACAAAGGCTTCTGGCTGAGGCACACGCACGGACCACCGCTTAAATCAACGTCCATTGAGCAAAGTCTGTGAATGAACATCAAACCTTGAACTCGATTGTGGCGGAACATCTCCTTCACAGTTCTTTCAGAAACAATGGAGGTTGATATGTGATGTTGAACTCTCAAGCCATTGATTTTTCAGGCACTGGATTGTTCCCAGGAGTCTTCCTCAGGGCAGCTTCTTTTTGACCTCCCATTCACAAGCTCAGAGCTTCCATCAGCATAGTGCTGGTGGGCTCTAGCTTCTGCAATCGAGTTATAAACGGACCCTTTCCTTGGGGCGTTAGATGGTTTACTCTATCAAGCTACCTTGAACGTCCTTGGATACAGTCATCTGTCCAAGATGGAGGCAGCACTCTCAGAAGGTATTTATACTTCTTCGTCAGACATGCAACAGCACACTCCTCCAAACAATTCTAAATCTCCTTCTTTTCAGCCTGTCGTGGGTCAAGGTCTGGGGCTTACACCTCTCCCCGGATCACAGCTTCAACAGGACCGAAACCACCTCCAGGACCTCGATCTTCAGGGTGTGGGTGATTTTGGTGGACCGTACGACTTGCCCACCGATCACAATTTAGATCTAACGGAGATCGATCGATTGATCCGTGACGGTGATCTGCCTGGCTCGCTATTGTCACAAGATAACCTAGGCGAGGTATATACCAATGCTCCGTCTCTCGAACCTACCGAGAATCCAGTTTGGAGCACAGACCCACCAGTACCCTGCCGGCTTACTCCAAGCGTCCTTCCCGAATCGGCTGTCACTAGCGAGCCAAGATACCGGCCAATTGCGCCGAAACCCACTTTGGGAGCCGACAATAAACGATTTCTCGATGATATCTCCATCGATGAGGATAATGAAAGCGATTTATCATCCGCTGAAGGTAATAAACCTGCTGCAAAGCGACAGCGTGTGGACCAATCCATGCAGCCAAATTTCACTAGAAATAGTCTCCCTACACCAGATCAAGACCCCTACTTTTCTAAGCAACGCCGACATGGATTCCCGTCTGACACGGCGAACTCGTTTATCCGGTTCCCAGTTCATAATTCAGTTGAGCGGCAAAGCGACTTTACCAACCGATTTTCAAAATTACCCTCCCTCGCGGTTGAGTTATCGGGTGCGCCTTGTATCACGGAGAATACAACGTCAGCACCAGCATCTCTTGTAACACCGAAAAAAGGGAGTAATGGCAATACTGTGAACGTTAATACAACATATTCCCGAGCTCCATTGTCGTTACCTCCACACAGCACTGCGCCCGCTACTCCTTGTCTGTTGGCAGACTCGGATGTGCCTAGTTTCCATCGCGAATCGTCGGTTGATTCGCTGTTCGATGAGCGCGAAAATTCTCCGGTGGCAAACGCTGCGTCATCCAGTCTGAACGTTGAAAATTCGCCATTCGCAATGCCTTTCATAACCAGTTCGACGGGAACGCCGATATCTGATCATCTCAAAAGGGTTTGTCAAATAAAAGATGAAGATATCCTCCTGACTCAATCGAGAGAGGCCGCATGGTTTGTTCGTCAGCGCCCACGGTATATTTCTCCATATCCGCAACCTGGGGGTGCACTAGGTTATCTTCCATCTACACCTTCTCTTCATGTCCGGTCCATCAAAGCCGCAGACACTGAAATTGCAGCTCGGTTAGAGGATTATCGCAAAAAAGTTCGATCATGCATGTCCGATCGCGCTAAACTCGTGGAGGAACTTCAAGCTTCAGCCGGAAGGGGAAAATACCAGGCGCTAAAGGATCAAGTGAAGTACCTAAAGCGAGCTGCAACTGTTCGACAAAAGAGAGAGAAGGAAGCCAAACGGGAAGCAGAACGCTGGCAGGAACAGCATAAAAACGTAGCAACTGCGTACAATCAACTTTGTGCGGATTTCCACCATCTTCGGTACTATGCACACTCTATGCAAATTCAGCTTCAGCATGTTAGCCAAGCTCGGGAACCTCGACTACTTCATTCATATGCTCCCGTTCAGCACGGTATGAGCTCTCAGGTTACTGGTCAGCTGGGAAAACTTGCTGCGCCACCTACTCAAGCGCCAGCCATATCTCCTCTTGATATGATACGCCCTCCTACAACATCCGTACCTATAACGCCTAACACTTCATCTCCGGCGACTCCAGTCATGGTCGATTTGACTGGCGACGAGGACACTCAAGCAGACACGAGACCGAAACCATCTCAACCCACGGAATATACCTCCGTGTCAGAACCTGGGATTGGTCAGAAAGAACTGCTGGAGAAAATGCGTAAAAAGGAATATAGGTGGCTTGGGAATAATAATCACATGCATCAGCGTTTCGCTCCTTCGCTGTCTGCTCCGCCTCAGACACAGCCCCAGGCCATGGTAAAATCTGCTAGTGCCCGGTCCCCAGACACGGCAACTCGAAATAGCGCCCGGCGCGGGAACACAAAGGCGACCGTTAGCCAGAGTGATCAGGGCCAATCGCAAACTCAACATACAATTGTCGGTTTGAATGCCACCGATGCCAAAAAAGCCGCATCTGCGATGAATTTGGGAAACGATTTAGAAAGCCCGGAGCGCCATTTGAACACTCCTCGGACCAGCCCCCAAGTGACCACGCAGCAAGAAGACGAAGACGATTTTGCAAGGGTTTTAGAAATGGCGCTTCAAAATAATGGTTAAAGTGAAATTGTCAATGCTGGTTAGTACCAATGTGTGCTATATTCTTGAAATGCCTTGGAATTCAGAGGTTAGAAATGGCGTGTGCATTGGCATTTGGGACTCTGCTTCTGCATTAGATGCTGATGTTGTTGGGTTGACTGACTATTGATGTTCACTATTATGGCTTTGTTGTTTCTTACAAGTTGTTTGGAAGCGAACTAGAAGGTTTTTGAAGTTTTGAAGTATGATATGATACCCTATAAAATTATTCAGCCAAAACAAAAGTGGTCAATTATCTTTTGAAAATAAACCCAGTCACCCATATGCAAATTCAACAAAGGAAGGGGGAAAAGAACGCCAACAGAAATTGGAAAATAGGGGCAGTTTCAGTATATTTATTCGGCTTATTTTGATATCATCTATTTTATCCAAGGCCCAAAGTCAAAAAGCATTTCGAAAGACAAACGGACATTTATCCATCCACCCTCATTCTCCTCCAACTATGAAACCTCCGCCTCGTATCACCTCTCTTCTCGTCGGCCTCATTTCCAAGCCCCCTCGAGGACGAAGAATTCTCCCTCCGGCCAAACATGCCTTTTTCTTCCTGAAGACCGGCACGTCTTTCTCCGTGTCGCCTCTTTCTCAACCCCCGACAGCAACATGCACATAGACTTGCAGCATGGAATATATACCCAATAGCCGTCATTCCCACAGCGATCCACATAAACACTAGCATCCGGGTTCCCAGTTGCGCGTGGATATTCAGGTCAGCCTCGTTTTTCACAAAGACTATTTTGAATATCGTGAACATCACTGTAGCTATAATGCTTGCTGCAGCGGTGAGGAGAAAGGTGACAAAGGTGAGGAGCGTAAGGGGGAAGAGATAGCGTTTCTTCGCAGAGTGGGCTCGCTGCGTTGCTACGGGGGAAAAACTGGGATTGAGCGGCGAGGTGGAAATGGATAGAGGGGCGAGGAAGATGCAGATGAATGTTAGGACTGTAGCTGTGATGAAGAGGCCAAACATCCAGTGGGATGCGATGCGCGCGATGTTTAGAGCTTTGGTAACATCGCCAGGTAGCGCAACTAGTCAAATCCTTGCGTTAGTGCTTGAAGGTAGTCGCAGCAGTGGAAGTTGAACTTACTCGTTGCGCCAGCGAGCAATTCGCTAAGCAAGATCTCCACGGGGTTGAAGAAATACATCTTCTTCGGTTCAGAACAGTATGTGATTCCTGAGCCATCCTCGTACCCCTCGCAGAAATTCCACAAACCCACCTGGTAAAAGTCATGGAGTCCAATCGTGCGAGCAATGCTGTTTATAAGAACTGCATCGGGAACGGAACGCGGTATGATCTCAGAGAGGTCGATTTTGAGGAAGTATGTTTCTCGAAGCACGGGTTTATCGCCGACATTCCCGATCAAGACGAGAATCAGAAAGACCAGGGCGATGATATAAAGAAGGATGTAGAAGAGACGTCGTTTTGAGAAAGGGCGGCGCTGTAGGTCTCCGGGCGCCAGGGAAGAGGTCTGGTTCTGAGCCTTTCGACGGCGCAAAAAGCTAAAGAATGGAAAGGCCATTGTTCATTTCTGACCTATTGACCAAAATAGGTAGACGATGCCCCTGGAAGTATCAAGCACAAGCAACAGTCACAGAGGTGCACGAGAGGGCGCCTTAGCATGATATGAAACGACAGACTCAGATGTGCTCAGTCATGAAAAGAGCGAAGAAGAAACGGCATGGGCCAAATCACCCAAGAATAAGGATTCGTCACCAACATTGAAAATGCTGTGAATTCACAGAAACACAAGCTTTCCAAGTCTGACTTGCGGTGGATTTCTGCGGGAGAACCAGGGTTTCGGCGGTGGAACTCGCATTGTCTGGATGACGTATCGGCCAGGGCTCATCACTGCAGGCATGGGCCGCTCAGCAGGGGATCGTCTCTGCCGATCGGAATCCCAAAGCCCCAATTCGAGATGGCGGTTCTCTTGTGAACAATCATGCAGCAGTCAGCTCCCATCTGTCAGATGCCATGGGAGAACACGAGGAAGTCGGGAGGCACCAAAGAGGCAGTCACATGATCTGCTCTGCTGCACCTCAACGTCAGAACTGCAAGCGCACAGCAATCATCAACCAAGCAGACCAGTCCAGGATGGCTGCCCACTTACAAGTTTTGAGAGCTAGGGTGCAGGCAACTGTGTGCTCACTGTGGCACTCTGCATGATTGGAACAGACATGGCCACTTCCTCTGTTATAACAGGCTGGTTTATGCATGATGAGGAGCGGGAGATGTCCATTCGCCATGTGCCATTTGATATGAATGAGCTAGCAAAGCTCACAGCTAGCTCAGCTGGGCAGTCCAAATGGTGTTAATGTTGAGAAACTGCCTGAGGGTATGTTCAATAAGACATTCCTAGTTACCATGGATGATGGCACATAACTAGGTGGTTGGCAAGGTCCCAACTCCAAATGCTTGTCTGCCACATTACATTGATGGAGTTTGTAGGGTATTTTCCTTATTTCAGCACTTGGCCCTAGTCCTCCGCATTATAATACATGGCTAGGCGCGGACAGTGCTGAACACTCCAGAGTGAAGCAAAACCCTGTTGGTGTGGAATATATTATCATGAAAGAGGTGAAGGAAATTCCCCCTCAAAGCACCTAGAACAAACTCCATATCGAAGACAAAGTTGGATCATCAATGCTGTCGCACATTACCAAAGAAAGTGGACTTCACGCTCATTTTCACGATACAGAAGCTTGTATTTTGCGCATGCCTTGAATGCTGGCCGACAACTGGATTGCACCTACACTGATTCCACTGGGACGGAGACCAAGAATCCTCGCTAGTCCATCAGGTGGTCAACTAGTCGTGATTTTCTCGATCACGGCCGAGACTCACTATAGTTCGACCGTGGCCCGTGTATGCACCTATAATTGTTATGAGACTTAGGGATTACTGATAGTTAGAGATTAGGAGCTAGCGTCGAAGATTACAAGAAGGCAGTTGGCCACCGTGAGACTTTCTGCATCCGCAACATTTCCCAACTCCTCCCGTCGCCAATTATTACGCGGCCCTAGATTCTATATGCCAACCCGAAAGAATAAAATTAGGGCCGTAGACATGCTTCTAACTAACACCCCAATATCAATACCTTGTATATGGCACCCAGATCCTCATACAAATATTCTCGTGTTGGAGAGAAATCCAACGAAAGTCCAGGGCATCATTGACTGGCAATCCAGTGAAATCCTCCCTCTTTCCAACCACGCCCGTCAGCCGTATTTTCTCGACTACAACGCGCCGCGTATCACAAATCTCAGCCCCCAAGAATTTCCTAGTTGGTTGGTTAATTTGTCCTGGCTGTTTTTAGATGTGCCGGCATCCAAGGGCGGGCAGGATGGAGTGGCAATTTTGGCAATTCTCAAAAATGTGCAACATCCCCAATCCGCCAAATATTTTCCTATGTTGTTCTATTTTGTCATTGCCGTTTAGCCATGATGCAGCAGACGAGAACACTGACACCAACCAGTGAGCATGGAAGCCAACAAACACAGGAGCCAACAATTCTTTCGATGCTTGGAATCCTCCACACTCGACATACGGTGGCAGGTCCACTATCTTTTGATGGGATGTCAGATTCGTTTGGTTTGGCTGGCTGAGGCGTCGGGGGCTCGAGAAATTCTGGATCCAATCCTACCAGTGCTAGATCCTTCCTAAAGGTCTCAAGATCAGATAGTACTCTCTGCAATTCCTTTTCTTGTGGCCTCCGCAATTTGAGCTCAAAGAAACTCTCCACTCTCTTGTCAGGGTTGTTTCCATAATATGTATTGTCAAGCAAATTCCAGTAAACATTCCCAAGGTAGCATGGTTTTAGAAGTGCATAGGCAATAAACACTGTATCTGACAACAGAAGTTCGGTCCAGAGAGTAGTCAGAGGGAGCAGAGCTGATATTTTTTTGTCTGGATTATGATGTCTGTCTTCCCACTCTCTGGCATCTGCCCAGAATTGGAAAACATCTGATTTAAATGCCAAATGGTCTGGCCATTTAGTGGCATTTAGAAGCTCCTGGCCTGTAATCCAGGAGGGGGGTAGGAACATTTGTGATGGAACAGTATGACTCCATTCCCAGTCAATGACTGAAACAATATTCAAATTCTCATCCACAAAGATGTTAGGAGGTCGAAGGTCTCCATGCATGAGAATGAAAGGTCCATGGTTATATGCTTGGTCTACCCATTCCATCACAATGCCCTGGGATGCAAATATGCCATATAGGTAGTTCCATGCATCCTTCTCACCAGAAACACTATCTTTTCCCCTGTAAAAGTCATTGAAAACCAATTTCAAGACAGTGTAAGCATAATCAACAGTGGAGCTATAGGTTCAGTGAGCAGGAATGATTTTGGAACTATCCATTCCACTGACTTCTTGATCATTCAACCCAATGGTCAGTGGGCAGTTTTGTCCAAGCACCCACTTCTCATCATTGCTATCAAGGGTGAGCGCGCCGATTTGACTGAATTGCTGGCGATAAAGCTGAATGTAGATCTCAGAAAGCTGACCAAACAGATGAGACCTAAGCTCCTTTGACAAACGCGGTACATCAGTTCCATGGAGGGTTTTGCCTGTAATGTACTCCAGAGCCAGGAAGGGGAGACCAAGAAGGTTATCTCGCGTAATGGTATATCCGAATATGCGTGGGATAGGAATGGTGGTTTTCTCCGCGATATACCTACAACAAGAGTAGCATTGCCGTTAGAGAGCTTGAATAAAAAAAGCAAGACTGCTTGGAGCTTCTTACTTCATGGTTGCAATCTCACTTCGCATTTTTCTCCTCAGGAAACGCGAGTCGGGGGAGCAGGGGGATTCGGATCATCCATTGCTCAGGGCGCTGAGCTGACTCATGGTCTGTGAACTCAACTGGGAAGCAGATATTATAGCTCCCTCTTTTCGTGTCTGAGAAGATCTGGCATGGCTTCTTCTCAGGATGTAAGGAAGAAGCTAGCTTGCAGACCAAAGATGGGTCAATCGAGTCAATGAACTCCTTGACTTCTTTATCGAGTAGATGACGGGTGAGTTGATCCATCGTACCAGCGAGAAGAAATCGAGAGTTCTCATCAACAACCGGTGGGTCCTGGGCACAGTTGTGAAAGTAACCGCGCTGCTCATGATCGAAAGTGACACAGACATCCCGTCTCAACGGGCTTCAAGGGGTGTTGGTGGACTAGGGCCGAATCAGGTAAGGCGGACGATTAGTTATCTCAATGCAGCATGAGAAATTCGCAACCAAAACAACACGCTCGGCTTGATATCTGAAGAGACTGGCAATACAAGTTCTGCTGTGAAGCTTTGTGGATTGGAATAAAGTGTTCAAGGGAATAGCTACCAGGTAACTAGTTAACGCTGTATAAATTTTCTTGCCTGCTGAATCATCGCTTTTAGCCTCCATCTAGCTAACTTATCGAGATCTATTAGAATCCTTTGTCTGATGAGCTCAACTGGACTCACACTCTGTCAGGGTGGAAAGGTCGGCCCACCGAGCTACTATGTACAGGACATGCATACCTGTTTTTATAACAAACTTGACATCCTGCTCTAGCTTAGGAAGTTACTTGTGCTGAAGATGTTGCCCGGTTGTCAAAGCAAATATAAGCCATCCTAATTGCGGCGCCATCTCTTAATGTTTGGGAATTTTCTCGAGTACCATATCAAACGCCGGGACAATGAACGTCTTCCATCGGCGATGCAGCCCCGAAAGCTTCGTCAGGATATATCCCAGCATCACCCCAATAAATCAGCCAAACCATCCGATCAGGACCCAATATCAAGTTCCAAGACGCAATTTCCTGATGACGAGTTCATCGAATTGAAATGAAGGAGCTGTCTTTGGCGCTTGATTGAAGTTCCGGCAGACAGCGAGTTTATGGGTTGAACCAAGCCCCGAATCCCTTTTTCGTGCCAGACGGACCGGCCCCCATGCCAGTTAAACTAGAAGCCTCGTGGGCAGGCTTTTCTGCCGGCTGGCTCTGGTTGTTGCTGCAGCACTGGGATGGACTGTAATGCAGTGATCATGGAGGCAACGTGGGCCACAAAGTCCACGCATTCCGCCTCACTCGGGTGCTCTCGGCATTCCTCGACCGTCTCGCCTTTCAAAGTTGATAGCAAGGAGACGCTTGCATCCATAGCAAACCTGGTTCGAGAGCTCTCTCTACTGGGAGATTAACATTAGTTAGGTACGAAATAATGGGAAATCGGAAAGTGATATCGATAGCCTTTTACACTCTAACTTGTACGGTAGTTACATACTTATCGAAAGGTTCGTCAGGAGAAAACAAAACTTATATCTTTGTTGCCTGAAGCCACTATCAAGGAGGCCCAACTACGATTGAAACTGGAAGTTCGGGTGCTTCTAGAAATGCGTCGACAGTATGGTTAGCAAAGCTAATATCTCGGATTGTAACATTCCTGACATCTTTTCGTGTGTGATTCCTCTAGGCCCTAATGACATATGTGTGCTGAGAGGTTGTGAATGTTTTCATGCATCTCTTTTTTCTATCTGCTGTTTGATAATTAAGATTATTGAGATGCGGTATGGAGCATTGTAACTAATTATATAGCAGCTATAGCTGAGGAGCCTGAAAGAGAGCATTATTAAAGGCCCTAGTACTTCATCACTTCCAATGTCTAGATTGAAATCAGACCTTTCCCACTGTCTAGTAACTAGTTAACTACCTAATTAATAGTTAGCACTTGCAGAGTAAACACATGATCATGCTTCACTCACCAAGGAATCTTCATGCTATATCGGTCTGCCAGTACATCATCATAGTGCAGCTATATTGCAGACTTGCAATGTATTCTCCGGTGCTAGTATCTCACCGATCAAAACTTCTAGAAAGATGTCTGCACCTGAGAAGCTTGTTGTTGGTCAACTCGACTTTGATGGTGGATATCAGAGATAAAAATCAATCTCTATAAGGCGATTCACATGCCACACAGGGGCTACTTTTTTTCCTTTCGTGCTTCCTTTCGTACTTGCTTCTTTTGACCCTTTTCCTCATTGTCGCGGGGTACTTGCACATGTTGTTCTATTATTTCTAATGAGTATATATAAACGCATTAAAGTGATAGAATGATCTTACCGACAGGTGGAAGGCCTCTGCTCATAATCCATTCATCTCGCTGCTGAGGAGTCGCATTCTTGATCCACTCAATAAACACCTTGGTGTCGCTCGGAAACGGCGGAAGAGGGCGCAAGGCTCTCTCAACCGGTCTGGAGGGTTCAAAGGCACGGTTGATGCCGGACATATTCATTGCCAAATCTGATAATCGCGCCTCAAGAGATCGCCTAGACGGCTATGCCAAAAGCAGCAAGTTTAAGAGAAAAGCGTCGGTTGGACAGGGATGGAGAGGTCAAAGGGCGTCTTGCTGTGTTCTAGCTATTTTGCTCGCACAGAGTTTGAGCCCTTGACGCCTCCCAAGGTTTAAGAATCTTGCTGCCTGCACCATGACGAGGAAAAGAAACACTCAATAGACTCGAGGATATGCTCAGAACAGCCTGAAAGTGCCGGCTTCATTGGATGGCGGAGTTGCTCGGGAGCATTGATGCCCCCTGAACCAGCAGCTTTGTCGGAGGGAGTTTATCCAGCTTCCCTGTCGATGCAGCGGCATTTGTCAGCTAAAAGGCGTCACGCCCAAGAGGGGGGCTGTCCCGCCGACAATCCAGAGGAGAATATACCAGGTGCAGAGGAATCCCATCCAGAATATATATAGTTCGCGTGCATACCCCCGTAGTTTCCGCGATTTCACTGTCTCTTCCTTTTCCCAGTCAACCGCCTCCCAGTAGACGCCCCATCCATACCAGCACCATGTCTTCTCCCGCAACAAAGCCCCTCCGCATCGGAGCCCTGCTCAGCAACACCGTCCAACTCCTGGACCTCGCCGCAATCGACCTCTTTGCCATCATGGCCCCGGAATACCTGGCAATGTGCTCCCTCCCACAATCCCTCGTAGACCTCGCCGTTCCCTCGGAAATCCATTACATCGGCAGCCACAAATCGCCCGCCAATCTCACCGCAAACCTCTCCATCAATCTCACGGACGACCTGGCTTCCAATTCTGTAGGCCCAGGAAATCTTGATCTTCTCGTAATCCCGGGCCCGGATCCGACGACCGTTCCGGCTGAGGACATCTTGGCCTTTGTCCGAGCGCATCACGGTGTCGGAACCACCATCCTCACCATTTGTACCGGTTGTCAAGTGGCGGCATATGCAGGGATTTTTGACGGCAAACGGGCCACCGGGCCTAGGACCATGATTCCCGGACTGCGACAACAGTTTCCAAAGGTAAAGGAATGGGATGAGTCGTCAAGAGTCGTGAGAGATGGAAATTTGTGGAGCAGTGGTATGTGGTCTCAATCTGTTTGGGCTTTGATATCCGCTTCTCGTATTGGACGAAAAATTCAATTTGACACTTTGGTTACAGGCAGTATTTCGAATGGCCTCGATCTCGTGGTGGCATATCTGCGCGAAACATATCCTGCACCGCTTGTAAACCTGATTTGCGCCATAGCCGAGATTGCAGAAAGACCCCATGAATACCAAACTGATCTGAAGACGGATTTGATGCAATTTTCTGGCAAATAGTGAGTGGCGTTACATTGCGGTGGACTGATTTAGAAAAGAAGAGGCATAAAGGGGGGAAAGGGGAACAGCGACCAAATAAATGGTTATGTTTTAAAATCTCAAATAAAATAGGTCTCCATGATATATATACATACCGCTCCGCTTATCCCAATCTCAAGCTGCAATTAGGAAGAGAAATAACTCCTCCTACTCCTTAAGGTAAATTGAACCCCATATAGAATTCCCTGAGCGCCAAATTCGGATAAACCCAACCTCTGACCACCCAAGAAAACAAAATATAACTGGTCATTATAGCGTCATTAACACGAAACCTGTGACAGCTGCCACTAGAAGCCCCGTGTATAAGTTTTGTTTGGCACTTGCGAGGTGACTTCTCGACGCCGCGGAAGTTTTTCGGCCACAGCATCGCCCGTTGTACGTAACGTTGTTATACTTAGCCGCAACTTCAAAGATGGAGCCATTGACATTGCCAATATTGTAGTAGTCGACGAGTATGAAATTGGGCGGCCGGCTCCATTTCTCTGCCACAGTTTACGGTTAGATAGATATTGGCATATCAACTGAATGAGGTAAGAGAACTCACCAGTGCAATTTCCGGCCATTGCGCCAGCACTGCCATATCCAGAAACGGCATTGGTTTCGTTCAACAAGACAGTATTCGGGACTAATAGACTTGCGCCTGCTATATTTACCTCAGTATTTAAGTTATGGTTCGCCATATATAACCGGGTTTTAGCGTCATCTTCACTTAGGCCCGGTGGCCTCTGAACGGTACAAGGGAAGTTCCTATCCGTCGGGGAAAACGGCGTCTCCCACATTTGCGAAAACTCGTCAAGAAGGTAGGGCACCTCGGTCTGATTAGCTTGGTAGTCGAGGAATACAATCGCCCTCTGCCCTTTTAGAATAAACTGGGAGAGGTTGGGCCAGTCGTCCAGTGCCATTGGTATTTTTGGAGGAGTATAAACATAATCGGCGAGCCCGGAGTTCTCTATTGGTGTAGTATAATTCCTTGGGCCGACAAAATTCGAGTTGCCCATTAAGATTGTTACAACATCGTACGGATTTGCTTTGAGCCAATCTACCACTTTCCGCAGGTAATCTTCAAGTGGGCCCACATCGAGGAGATCGCAGGAGGAATGGCAGAGCCGTATGGTGTCGTTGACGTAGTGAGTCTGGAATTGCACTTCAAATGGTTAGCGTTCCTGCCCGGGCATCCAAAAAGTCGACGCACTTACACATGCGAATTCCGTCGTTGAGTTGAATCGTCACATCAAGCTCCTGATTGCCGGCTATATTCCCCGGCCGCACGAAAGGGCTATTATGCGCTGCCACTTGGGTGATGTTGGAATATTTTCGCTCGCAAAACTCAGGGTATCCGTTACACGGACGGGTGTTGGTGGGCACTGCAGCTGACTCAGTGGATGTGGCCGTAGCATTCCCGGATAATGTAGTTCCATTTGCAGTAGTGGTTTCTCTATTACTGCCAATGAGAAGGGTAAAATCTTCGGACGTGGTTGTGATGCTATCTGTCACAGTGGTGGTAGCAGACCCAGTTTGAGCCGACTGTAGCTCGTCGCTCGCCGTGCTAACGGTGATTACTGATGAGTAAGTCTGATAGAAGCTTGAATCCGTAGGGATAGGGCCGGCAATAGACAGCGAGGAGGGTACATTAGTTCCTGTTAAAGTGAGGATTTCATCTGCATATATCCGGCCCAGCAAAGAAGCTGCCGTCGCAATATACAAGCTAAATAGCATGTTATCGAATTATCAAAATTCGAATACTGAAACCAGTCGTCGAGTTCGAGTGTAAGCTTCGCTAACAAACCATCAATGGAATCGCTAAGCTGGACTGGGCTGTGCTCCCTCGTTGTGAGGAGTTAAAAAAAAGAAGACAGACAAAAAAACAGGAAGCCAGAGACAATGGGAAACCAACGCAGGGGGATCAGTAAAGCAATAAGAACTGAGCGAAAAAGAGGGTCAAGAGTCGCCGGAACAACAGATTCCTGGGCTAAGCGCGAGAAGTTTCAAGTCAAGCATCAGAGACCGTCCCGTCTTTTATCGACATCATTCACTGACCGGGAAAACACCCTGCTGAGAGAAGGGCAAAAAAAGCCCGATTATTGCTGCCAGGTCATCGGATAAAATCATGAAGTCAGTGGCGATCAGCAGCCAGTGCTTGCCGTCGTAATGGCGGCCCTACAAGTGGGTCAGGCCCAGGAAGAGGCTGTGCGACTAGGCAGCCGAAGAGCAAGCATGCTAGCATGGAGATATTGTTGCCGGAATCTAGGATGCGGGCGGCGAGTGGTCCAGCGGGCGCCTTTGTGTCTCCATGGGGAGCGAGTGGTTGCGTAGGGGCCCTGCTGCGGTCAATTCGGCCCTCTTGGGGCATGTCCAAATTCCTAGCTGGGATGTTAGTAACTAGAGCAGTGCTGGAGCTGCTGTTGAATTCTGGATTGCATTCTGGATGTAAGATCGTTGAACACGATGCCGTAGGATGATCAGAGATGTTGATGAGATCGTCGAAGAGGAAGAGGAAGAAGAGTCGTTGATTTAAGGAGTTTTGGCAAGGTGGGCTGCTTCGAGCTCAACGCAAAGGCTTCAATTTTGCGGGATCAAAAAGTAGCATCAAGACCTGCACCTTCACAACCCGCGCAGCCTGCATTCCGCCAACGACTAAACTGCAAGACGAACCACGCCGACAAAATGGTTGACATCCTTCCCCTCTGCTCCTATCCCTCCTACCTGTCGCTGCTCCCCTCCATCCAGACTTGCAACATCACAAACCTTCCCGAAAACTACTTCCTCAAGTATTACATGTACCATGCCCTCTCCTGGCCGCAGCTCAGCTTTATCGCCGTCGTCCGGCCCCCGCCTAACAGCAAGAATTCCGACTACCCCAAAGTAGTAGGATACGTGCTCGCCAAGATGGAGGAGGAGCCCTCGGACGGCGTGGCACACGGACACATCACAAGCTTAAGCGTGATGAGGACACATCGACGACTGGGTATTGCTGAGAGACTGATGAGAATGAGCGGTACGTCCGAAGACCGGTTGCCAAAAAGCTATCTGCTCATACTAATTGACCCCCCTTCCCCAGAACGAGCAATGGCTGAGTCCCACCGCGCACACTACGTCTCGCTACACGTCCGCGTCTCCAACACCGCCGCCTTGAGGCTATACCGCGACACGCTTGGCTTCGAAGTTGAAAAGGTCGAGGCCAAGTATTATGCTGACGGGGAGGATGCGTACGCCATGCGCATGGACCTGCGTGACCTCTGGGTCAAGGGCGATAAAGAGGGCGGAAACCCTTCGGGTGAGGGAACACCTGCAAAGATGAAAAAGAAGAGGGAAGAAAGCGGAGATGATGATGCTCAGGATGAAGGAGATGAGGTGGGGAGTCTAGGGAAGAAAGAGGATGGAAAAGAGGGGGAGAAGATGGTGAAGGTCAAGATTGGGAGAGCGCTGGGAGTGGGGGATTTGGTGGAGAGAAATGAGGCCGTGCGATGAATCGCACATTAAGAAAGCGTTGCATGTTTGGTGGAATGAAGCACTATTCGGCCACGAAGGACGAAATTCCCATCCTGCTCTGATGGTACGATAACTAGTATCAATCGGGGTCTTTTGAAAGTGATCGAGAATTCTCAAAATATAGGTCTGGCCGTATCTTGAAGGCGCGGGATTCGTGTAGATATCACAGAGGATCACATAGTTAAATGAATGTATCAGTTCATTATTCATTCATATATCAGCTAATAAGTGCTCCGAAATACCAAACCATGGCACTACATATCAAAGCCATTTTCACAAAGATAGCATCAGAACTTTCGAGTCAAAATGAGGCCAGGAGTCATCAATGCTGACCCTAAAAAACATTATTAGTTACCGTGTCCAACATTTTCTTCCTCCTCTTCGTCATTCACAGGGAGAACACCACTCTCCTGCTTCCCGTCTCCAGACCACTGCATTGATGGGGCTTCAGGTTCTTGCTTCTTCTTTCGAAATCCGGATGACTTTTTCCCAGCGTTACCGCCAGTCCAACCCCAGCCCACCGTCGTCGGTGCAGGTTCCTTGGAGCTGTCTTCTCCCTTTCCTTTGCTCGCTTTTGGGTTCTCATTCTTGGACTTTCGCTGTGGCTGGTCCATCGGGGATGGATCGGGTTGAATGCCACCAGCTCTTAGATCAGTGGTTGAGCTAGCAGGTGTTCCTGGTGTCTGGGAGGCAATTGGAGGTGGCACCGGGGGTAAAGGCGGCAAGGGAGGCTGGTTGGCAGTGATAGCGGTGGATGGCCGTTCCTCATGGGCGATATCAGGGCCCCGGGGTCGGGACTGGGATCTCTCTGGATCTGAACAAACCATCAACAGGAGACCATAAAGTATTGTTTATCCGCTAAACCAAGGCCAAACTTACGTTTTCGGTTCCTTTTGAGCTCCCTTTTCTCCGCTCTTCTCGTCCTCTGCTGTTCTTTCTTTGAGTTTCGCATCACTCGTCGAATTTGCTTTCTCTCCTGATGGAACTCATTCCTCAATTCCTTGTGCTCTCGCTTCAAAGCCACCAATTCGGCTTTGATAGCTTCTGCTTCGGCAGCTTTGGCATGGCTCGCCTCCGAGTGGCCTGCTCCATGACGTCGATCCCGTGAAACTGACGATCGAAGATCTCGATGTGCAGCTCGCAGAGCGCACCTTTCATGCCTTAGAGCCGCCGCTCTCGCGCGATGTTCTGTATAGAGATGACGGGCCTGTAGCCGGCTTTGGCGTACAATATCAATCTCAGGTCTAGCACCGGACTCGTCCTCGGAGTCAGAAGAAAAAGAAGAAAGTGACTCCGTGCTCGAGGATGACGAGGACGTGGATAAAGATGAAATCGAAGCTTTTCGTGACCGAGAACTCATTGGAAATCCCGGGGGTCCCCAATGCGACCCCATACCGCCATGATTGAACGGAGGATGTCCAGCAGGCCCCCAATGCGGTCCCATACCGCCACAGTTTCTGCCTCCGTCATGGGGTTTTCCCCATGGCCCAGATGGATTCCACGGATAGAGCCAAGGTGAGCGCCTCTTGCAAGCTTGCTCGAACTGCTCACCAGCTTGCTCCATCCTCTTCCCTTGCTGGTCAAAGTAATTTTCCCACATCTGGCCTTTGGCCTCCATGATCCGGCCCCATGCTTCGGCACGGTCTTCAGCTCGTCGCCCATGAGCCAAGGCTTGTCTTTCAATATGATCGCCGTATCGCTGCGCCTGCTCGGACATGTTGTTTGCCCATTTTTGAATCGTAGATGCCCAAGATGCCATTGCCGGCTGATTTGGGACATTTCGCTGCTGCGACTGAGGGCCGGTGTGCCCTCCTTCAATGCTAGGGTGTACTGGCTGCTGTGGCGGCGGGTTGGCGGTACGCTCACCAACTGGCTTGCGAGGAATCGAATACGGCGGTGCCGCTGGCGCTGTCTGAGATCGAGGCATGCTCGCATGAGCGCCGGGCCGCAATGGCATCGATCTAACCGCCGAAGGGTAGCATTTGGGGCACAGTGGAGAAGTAGTTGTCGCCCCGTTTTCAGGAGCAAAATGAATCACCACATTCATAGCTCGGGGGCGGAAGAAAAAGCTATTCCACTCCCCAGCAACAGCCGCAATTCTGGCCTTTCGTTGCTCATCGTTTTCCTGAGGACGATCTTTACGATCCCTCTCGATCTCCTGGCGAAGCTTCCGCGGGAGCTGTTGCTGGCTCGAAGCAGGGCCCAGATGTGAAGGGAGTAGATAATTCAGAAACGTTTGCCAATCGTGCTGGGTGAATTCCTCGGATCGAGATCGCCAGCATCGTGGGGATCGGGCATAGTCTCTGGGCCTGGCTCCTCGTGTAAATGGTTATAGCATGTTCGAGTATCTCGTCTCCCGGTCCATGTGCGACCGTTGGCGGACGTTCGGTGAAATAGGGCACGGCAGAGATAAAATTAGGCGATGATTGTACAGTCTGACTATACGAGGGCACCTCTTCCGCAACCGGTTGCTCTGAAGGTTCATCTGCATCTGGGGTGCTTGGGGTGAGGGGATCGGTGGGAGTATACGGTGGAGGGGCGTCGCCGTCGTGAATTGCCTTTGTCAGGGTCATTTTGTAGCGTGGATGTGATTAGAGGCTCTCGAGGAAGATGCCTTGGGTATCTCACAGAAGGAGGGCGTTGGAAGGGAAATGCAGACTGAAGTATCCGATGAAGCTGCTCCGCAGCTCGTATTCAGCTCCCAGGATCAGAAGCTTGATCCCAGGCAACATCATAACGCACAACAAGTCACTTGCGGCAAGCCCTGCGAGCTGTTCAAGAATTCTTCTGCCTGGCTGTGCCTCTTGTACAACGATGCTTGAAAGGACGCCTCATGTCAGGCAGGAGATTGACATTGGTTCCAGATGAACGATCAACTGGAGGTGTTTTCCGAAAGCCACCAACGCTCAATGAGGCTTCCATCAGCAGGCGAGAGAGACTGCTTTCTCGACGCCGTCTTTCATCCGCACTTTATCTATTGGTTCTACTGTAACTATCAGTCTCAAGATAAGAACGATATTATTACAGGGCTTGCTCGATCAAAATTTTACCGTCTTGAGAAGATCACTGCTGACACTAACTTCAGATCTCACCCTTCGCACTTGAATTGAAAAGATTCAGATCAATTGTTACATATTTAACTAAGTGCAAGATTCAGTCTGAAACACAATGCCAGAGCTATGGCAGAGCTCTGGCAGCCGTGACTGGGCACCACAGACATATCACACTTCCTTCAAGGCGCCAAAATGAACATCGAGCTTACATCGCCAACTATGGATGAACTCAGGGCAGAGTTTAATAAAGACATGATATAAACCATTTTGGGTTCGGCTCCAAGCACGAGAGAGACAGGACTCGCGCTTCTAATCTCAACCCTTCAAGCTGTCCGTGTGAGAAAATATATTAATCGGCCCCAAAAGCATCCCCTCCTCGACTTCAATCAAAAGTGCAATATCCAGCTCCTTCAATGACGTCTTCACGGTGAGCGGTTTCATCAGCAATACCCAAGCCTGCCGTTCCTCCTGAAAAGGCGTGAATTCAGGAAAGTCATCAGATATCAGCATTAGCTTCAACTTGCGCAGCTTTGGCATGGCAGCAAGGATGCCACAGAATTCTCGGTACCGGGCCTCCCATGGCTGGTACGGTGGGCCAAGCAAGAACGTGATTTCGAGAGCTGGAATCATTGAAAAGTGTGCGGCATAGACCTGCTTTCGAAAGGTGAAGAAGCTGTGGTCCGCGGGGTTTGCAACCCTGGTATGGAATCGAAAGCAGGTATTAGCATATAGCACGTTGAGCGCTTCGGCAGATCTGTCGAAGAATCCTGTCAGTTCTAACAGTCCACGAGATTTCGAACAAAATACCAATACATTTGGCGGCAAGTATATATAAGCCCGGTTTCTACCCGACCAAAGGTGTCGATCTCGCAAGGGGACAGATCAAACCAGTGATTTTCTCCCGTTATAGCACAACGACAAATGCCGGGTCTCACAGGGCTCCTCGCAAGGACCTTATCTCTCGGTGGCCGCCAGCAAACCGCATATCTACACCTTCTCCGGTGGATAATCGTGGTCTGGTCTTTCCAGTGGCCGAAGACGAACTCATATATGAGGAGGCGTATTTCAAATGGAAGATCCAAGAATCTAAAGGCCCCTTTTATCTGCCGACTGCGGTTAGAATGTCTTCAGGTTAAAACTTTCCAAAAAAGCAATGCATGTGAGACCTGTTTGACTTGGAGCATAGCACAAAGCACGATAAGAATTGCAAAAGTACCTTTTCTCCTTTCTGAAATAGCATCTTGAGCTTTGCAATAGCCATCTTTGATAGATGCTTGCATTTGAGGGCTGTTTAACTGGACTCATCGCAAATAAGGATTCTTATAAAGTCCATTCTAGGAGAAAAAATCGCATGCTCTATCACTTCATTCTCACAAAGAGCAGTATCTTGGTTCTTTTGTGATTTTGGTCGGGAGACACTGAACACATCACAAAGTTCATGGTAGCGGCCACTCCTTGCGGGAAGCTTCGTTCTACACTACCTATATCCATGGAAGAACCGAAGCATTTCAGTCACATACATAATAAAGCCTGCCGGCCTTTGGTGGGATTATCACATACTTGCAAAGAGAAGACTCGGCAACAGGCGTTAGATTGTATAGTTGATCAAAGGACTTCACTAGTCCTTCATGGCATAGGGCCATGCCGCTAGAGGAAGTCCCAGTTGCAGATTTTTAGAATTTGCTGGAGCGGATATGGAGCTCGCAATGTCTTCCAAGAAGCTGCCAGCACAACATGATCTGTCGCACAAATAAGAGTGGAGCATTCTCCATCTCTCCTGAGGAGTTTCTACAACAAAAAGGTAAAGGCTCTCAGCTGTCTTCCCACTGGCTTGCTATCTGGAGCTGTCAGCACAACCTGTCATCAAGAAGTTGTGAACTTAGACTACTCTGCTGAACAATCATAGTTGAGTTACATGCCCTTATATGAGAAGAGTACAACCCAAAAATATAAAGTTAATACAGCAATAGTTGAAACGCTCGCAAGTTCTTCATCTCGGCCTCGAAGGCTCGCACTCGCGCAGTTGCAGCATCGAATCTCATCCCGCTGGGCTCGTGGTTAAGCAGAGCAAGATAAGGTACGGCCTGTTCGGAAGTAGCTGTGAGAAGGGTGCATTTCTAGATGAGATTGTGCCAATCTGGAATGTAACAGGAGCCATGTCGAGAAGACAGATAAAAATGGACTTGAAGGATTCATAAATAATAGCTGTTGATGTATCAAGATGAAAGGTGCAACAATTTCAAATCAAACATGAAGTGATGTTGAATTATTTGGTAACTTGTTGAATTTACCAAATGTCTTTTTGGCTCACTGGCAGCATGGGATCTTGTCCTTCTGTCACAGCCTGGTAGCCACTAGTTACCATGCACTTCAAAACATCAGTTTGAGCTCCACAAGATTTTGTGTGCCAAATATCATCACTCATCATCAATCATCTCAGTCTGAAGACAGGCAACAGGCGTGGGGCTCAGCAAAAGCCTAATAACCCAACTGAAAAGGGTTTAAGCATGAGAGAGTGCTTTGGTTTTGTGGAGTCATGAAATCAACACCTTGTTGGATTTCTCAACTTTTGGTCAAACATCATGTGTGTTGAAACTTCATTTCTTCAAGCTCTTGGTACTATTGGTTTCCACTTAAAACTCATGCATCGCACGGGGTGTAAAAGCACATTGGATACATAAGGTCATGAGGATTCAAAGTGAAAATCATGGTTATGGTGATTTGTTGACTGAAGCCGCACCCGCTGTTCATGATTGACAAGTAACTAATCATCTGTAACTAAACACTTGGCACCCCATTGGGGTCGCGCGAGAGGCCTCTGACTGATGCCTTGAGTTGAACTGTGCGCTTCTGTCAACTCTACACGGTTTCCGATATTTCAGCACTTCCTTTTCGACCGCCGTCTCCGGCCAGTTTTTCCACCCATCGCCTTTGGCATATAGTGGGCTATCTCCCTCCCTGCATTTATCTAGGACAGGAGCTAACCCATCACCCAATGCAAATAGCTCGAGCAGCGCATCGGAAGAACTCCTCCGATTCCCAGTTTCTTAGAAAAACATTGCTGTTGACCCAGCAATTATTGCTGATGACGACGATTGGGAGACCAACCTCCTTCAGGATTGGTTGATGATCTGGGTGCAGCGCTTGGGTGTGTGGAGCTCGGTGCGGTCATTTCTGGGGGGCTGGCAGCTGTAATCTTTGCGTCCATAGAGTCGCTTGTAGCCCGCAATGACTGCGTCAGGAGGGCGACCATTGGGGAGAAATATAGAAGATGTCGTGGGAGCAGTGAGCGGCGAGTCTAATGGCTTGGTACTTGAAATGTCGGCCGGAGCTGATACTGGAGACGAGACTATTGGACGATCTGGAGTTGATGACACTGAACTATGTCGTGGGGTTGATCTTGTAGATGGGACATAGCTCAAGCTGGAGGCCAGAGACGCAATGGCTGTATCCCGGCTGTCCTGTGACGATGAGAAAGATGCGGCGCTGCTCGCGTCCCCGGAGGTAGGTGGCTGATAGGTCGATGGAGGATTAACACCGGAGGTTCAGTTGGTACGGGAGGTTTCAAGTGAAAACACAGCATCTGGTTTGGAGAGGGGAAATAGTTCAGCTACGGACTTTGAGGAAGAGCTGGTCGTACCACCTGTTGTCGTGCGCTGTGTGGCAGAGCCGCTCAACTCGACGGTCGACGTGTCCAAGGTAGACGTTTTGAGTCTTGTCTCAAAGGTGGATGTGTCGAGGGTCGATGTTTCGAACGCCGATTTGACAAGAGTGGTGGTGTTGGGCCAACGCACGCTAGAAACAGCTGGGGAGCGGCCTCCTGATACTTGGTCTGCCACAATTCCTATATTAGGATTCCTCTTCGCCTCTTCCTTCCTGAAGTTTGAGTATACGTACCGCATACACAATGTCAGCGTGTCCATACTTGCAGTTGCTAGGGTTTTCTTTGCTTGCATTCTCTTCGTGTCTTTCTTGGCCCCGAATATTCTTTTGTATTCATTATTGTCAGCAGCTCGTCGCATCCCTTTCAAGCTGGAAGAGGGCCAAGTCGCGACTCACTGTCAGGGGGCTTTGTGGTGTGCTAGTTACCTTCATGATACTTTTGGCGAACATTGTGCCTATGTTACTTCACCGGCTGAAGCTGCATTGAACCGTGACGTTGAATTAAGCACCTCATTACGGTTTATGGAATCCTAACCTTATTTTCGACCATTTTGAAAGCCTCGCTCGAGGTAATATCGCTAATCATGTGATCATGACCGCTTCCGGAGATTACGCCTTGAATATTACCGTGGCTGACGATTGTCAATTCCTGCTTGTTAGCTTGGTGTGGGAGGTAAGCTGCAGAGGGCCATACTTCAGATGATTTCATGTATAGAAAATCATGAGGGGAGCCTGTTGACAGGTCTATCCAAATTGGTGCAAGAGGAAGAAGATGATCAATCCTTCCAATTTTGTGTAGAGATACTTGAAGCTCTGCTTTTCATTTTTTTGATAAGGAAGTATGCCATCTAAATATCTTGAGTTTGCTCTCTTGTTGTTGATGCAACTGAAGGTTTTGGGATTTTTCACCTCCTGAGACCCCCTCATCCTTGCATAGTTTTCACAGGGACAAGTGGGCTACATGTGATAGAGCTACACTTTGTCAGCAGATAAAAGAAGCTTCTTTTGTTGGAACTCACACCCATCATAAAGCTCTGGAATGCACCATTTGTCAGGCAAAAACATACTTGCAGTCTTCAGAAGATGATGGTCACTGAGATTCAGAAGTTTTGCACTGGTTGGTAATCTAAGAAATGGAAGCTGGTCTGCCTCATGGCCATTCAGAATCAGGTCATTATGATCAAGATTGAACATGTTGAGAGCAGTTTCTAGCATGTCCTTTGATATGATGACTTGTGTGAAGTTTGCAGCATCCATTTGCCACTCCTTCTGGCCCTATTTGCTCGAAAACTTCCCTGGGGTCCAATTTCCGGCATGTAGTTTCAACTTCCCTTTCTAAGTCGAGAAACGCTAAACTGATTCTTACGCAGCTACGGAAACAACTGGCTTTTTCTCTGAGTATTTGTTTATTAGTGGTGTCGGGCATGATGAGAATATCGTGAGGGAGATCATAGTAGACGTGGTAGCGTTATATATAAAATCCGAAACAAGCCGAAGCGGCTCAGACACCAGAAATAGTGGATGGAGTCTTTGTATTTTCATTTGCAGAATCTCCCCACCAAGACGAGTAAATGACAAGTGAATGATTAGGACGATTAAACGGCTAGAACGAGTGAATGACGAGTACGGGCAATTGGCTAGGACGAGTGAATGACTCGGAATTAGCGGAACTCGCAGGCCGTTTGCTCCTCCAGCTAAATTCACCAACACACTGGGAAGCCCGTAGGCGCCCAATAATGGGCCTGTGAGGACTTGGGAGCGCCAGCAGTCTTCGGTCACTCCTCTGTGTGCTCAACGTCTGATATCTAGGGAAGAGTGTCAGAGGAATGGGCGCGTTGGGGCCTGTACCTTGCTCCCATGATTCACATGTGAGGAGCTAGGTCTAGTGGACGTATAACCAGCACAGAAATGAGCTACTAGCGTAGAGGATATAAAGGAAAATGCGGTAGGAGCAAGTATATAATAGGCTATGTGAGAATAGAGCTCATCACTGACCCGTTGAAAGGACGGCGGCAGCGTTGAGGGATTATAAGCAAAGTGTGTGCTACTAAGGCCGAAGGGGTTTAGCGTTAGGGCCTGGCATGACAGCTGTCCAAGTTGAGCCAACTTTGCGTTCTGCAGCATCCTCAGTTTACACAGCCCACTCTGAGCAACGACTGACCGTGAGCCTCCCCAACCGTGGATCTTTCAAATTCCCCCCCGGGATCAACAGATGTTGGTGAGAAGAGCCATTTGGCGCCCGGATTTGAAACCCAACTTTCCAAGACCATGGAGCAATTTCATGCATACAAAGTGTCTGGTAGGCCTTCGGACATCAGAGCCTTTGTCAGCAGCGGAAACAAGCTGTTTGTTCTCTTCAATTACCATGACTGGATGTATGCCAAATACTCTAATTTTTGTCACACAAACTTGCAGCATACCTTAGAGAGACTTTCAGAGCAAAAGCAACTTTTTGTTATGTTTGTTGAAAACAATCAGTTTAGAACAGTCTCATTTAAAAATGCATTGAGTGCGGCACAGTCAACAATGCTGATTCTTGTTGGATGCAGAGGTCAACTTTTCTCAGACAAACTGCGTCCTCAGACGCAAGATAATTTGTTGGAGTGGATTGATACCCTTGGCCTGGCCATGAGTGGGTGTTAACCTGATTGAAGAACACTATTATTTGTTTTGTTAAGTATGCACATCTATCTCATTTGGTTTTTTTCTTTTTCCTGGGATGCCCAAGTTACCATTCTCAAATGCAAGCAAACCATTCTTCATTTGCTAGCACTGTACGGCTTTTACCCTTAAAAGAGCTGAATAGTCCCGGTTCGAACACCGGTTCGAACACCGGTTTGTTTGAATGTATCGAGGCCTCTGTCGCCAGACGTTGAGTGATAGAAGGGAGGGATGGTCACTAAAATTCGACTTTAGGGACTCCGCCCCGGCCTTAATGTCGTATGCATTATTTTCGTTTATGGCGATACGTCTGGTCAGGGTACTGGGGTGGACCTGTAATCCCCAAAGTTGTGGCGCCATTCGTGAAACAGCCAACAAGACTGGTTAATAATTTTGTGAAATGCTAACAGTATCCTTTCCATTTGCTAGAATTTCTCAAACCTGGTGGTACATGTGGCGTTATTCTGGAGCACCGCATTGAAGAGCTATGCACACCCCTAGAACGGAAAACAGAACAAGAGTAAAAAGCACTGTGGGATAAATCAACAGGGTTTAATTATATATGTCTTCCTCGAAGCTACAGCGTGTCTTGTACACGGTGAGTCTGATATCCAGCATCATTCGATAACAAGCACCATCTATTCCGATTCCATTAATCCGTTTGCCGGTACTACGACAATGGTTGGCAGCTACAGTAAGCTAGGTGATCCTGCCCTGCTTGACAAGATTGATAGGCTCTTTTCTTGTAACGTGGGCGAATATATCGACCTTCCACAGCTGGTTGTTGTGGGGGACCAGTCCAGTGGCAAAAGCTCCGTGCTGGAGGGTCTCACCAAGCTTCCCTTTCCCCGTGACAGCGGCCTCTGCACCAGATTCGCAACTCAGATCGTCTTCCGTCGCGCTCGTGCTAAGAGTATTGGAGTTTCGATCATTCCCCATGCCAATTCAACCATTGAACATGCTGAGAGAGTGAAAGAATGGAAAACAGCCCTTGAAGTTCTGGATAGTGATTCATTTGGACGTGTGATGAAGGAGGTATGTAAGCTTCTATCCAATTCGGTCAATTACTGATACTCATAGGTTCACGATGTAATGAATCTGTCCGACAAGCAAAATGGAGCCAATGGCGCCCAGCGCACCTTCTCCCGAGATGTTCTCCGGTTGGAGATAGCTGGCCCGGATGAGGATCATCTGAGTATTATAGATGTTCCCGGAATATTCAAGAGCACAACTGAAGGATTGACAACAAAGGAGGATATTGTGCTGGTTCGAGATATGGTATATGGCTATATGCAGAATCCGAGGTCTATCATGCTGATGGTTGTTCCGGCGAACGTTGATATTGCCACTCAAGAGATTGTGGAGATGGCTAAGGAGCTGGATCCAGAGGCCCAAAGAACGCTGGGTGTCCTCACAAAGCCAGACTTGGTGGATAAGGGCGCGGAGGGAGCGGTCGTACGTATGGTCAACGGGAAAGAGCAAGGATCAGGGGTCCAATGGAGCGTGGTGCGTAACCCAGGACAGCAAGACCTTCAGAACCAGAACACTAGCAGGCAGGGAGAATCGAAATTTTTTAGTGAAGAGTCACCGTGGAATTCCATGCCAGCCGACCGAACCGGGATAGACGCGCTGCGTGACCGGTTACAAGAAGTTCACACCGCCCACACGCGACGTGAGTTCCCGAAGGTATGGATTCCAAGAACATGAAATGTCAATGATTTCTATGTAACTACGCTAACCGAGGCTCAAGGTCAAAATTGAGCTTACAAAAAGACTTCAAGTTCAAAGGAAGACTCTTGAGGCCCTAGGAGACGATCGAACTTCCCCCGAGAAGCAGACAAGGTTTTTGATTGACATAGCAACCAAATATCAAGCTCTTGTATCCCAGGCGTTGAGTTCTGATTACGGGTCTGAGACTATATTCTATCAGCACGATGAACTCCGCGTCGCGACAGCAGTGATGCAGAGGGCAGACACCTTTTCTGACCATATGGAGAACTGGGGTCACCGATTTTACTTTGCACCCAAATCACTGGGGGAAACATGCGAGCCTGAGGATTCAGATTTTGGTCTCCTGAGCCCACCCCCTGACGATCTAACCTCCCAAGGAACGAAGTTGGCCAGGAAGAGCCATACACTCAATGTGCGGACAAAAGAGACTCCCGCAGATTTGGATGACATTCTCTACTCTCCAGAGGATGTTTCCAAACCTTTAGGGGGCATTTCTGACTGGCTGAAGACAACATACCAGGAATCGCGGGGATTTGAGTTGGGGACATTCGGATCTTCCCTTCTCCCCACCTTAGTGCACAAGCAATCCGAGAATTGGAAAGATTTGGCGTTGGGGTTCGTCAGCGACACCATCGCCATGGTGCATTGTTTTCTCGTGAAGCTTCTAAAGCATCTCTGCCCCAATGAACGTGTAGCTTCAGGTTTGTTGTCAGCGCTGTCTGACGACTTGGGCCGGCGATACCGCAGATCTCTCAAGCACGTCTCATTTCTCCTGGATGTGGAGACAAAAGAGAACCCCCTGACACTGAACCATTACTTTAACGACAGCCTCCAGAAGTGGTAAGTCCCAAGACCAAGAACCTGTTTAGGCCGGACACTGACTATTATGATAGCCGCCAGGAACGCATGCACGCCGTTCTGTCCGAAAAGTCTTTTGCAGATTGTAGGCATGGAGAAGTGGTGAGGCTTGGGGACATTGTGCAACACCACCCAATGGGTAACGCCAACCATACGCTGCAAGACATCCATGACATCCTCAAATCATACTACAAGGTTGCTCGAAAACGTTTTGTGGATAATGTGTGGACGCAAGCTGTGAATCACTTCCTTGTTGCCGGTCCGGACACGCCCCTTAAGCTCCTGACTGCAGCTTACATTCTCAATCTCACCCAGGAGCAGTTGGAGAGTATTGCCGCCGAAGATCCAAGAACGAAACGTCAGCGTGAACAGCTGAGGAAAGAGGTTGATGATCTAGACCGGGGAAGGAAGATATTGTTTTAAAAGAATATGGCTTTTCCAAGTAGCTTCCCTGTGGTAAAGACTCATAGCGGCTTAGACAAGGGGTTCTCGTAGCAGTTTAGGTTTTGTTGGACCGAATAGTGCAGCTGCAGCTAGAGCGCCATGTGCGTTTCCAGCATGTCACTCCTTGAATTTGGCTTATCACTATTTGCAAGGCTAACTTGTCATCTGTATATGAACAGGCCCATGTTTCTAGGTGTTCCGGATTCATCTGACTTGCTAACTCAATGAGTCCCAGCCATTTCAAAGTTGTCTGCACTAGAGTCGGTCGGCAGGACTGGGATCTCGGACCTGATCCCGACTTTCTCCTGCGGTGGGACAGGATTAGTCAGGACCTACTATGCCCGGGATGGAACTCTGGGGCCTTATTGCATGGGACGGCTCGGGCTTGGGAGCTCAATGTTATAGGCGTGCCCAGGCCTGAGAATGGTGTGAAATGGGACATGAGATTGTATATTCAGAAGTATATGAGACCAAGGTCCTGTCCCGTCAGCAATGAAATTCGGTAACCTATAATTTTTTGCAAATTGAATGAGCTCAGTTTTGTTGATATATTTTTTAAACCCAAGTAGTCCTACATTTCGCTAGGAAGTCTCACCTTGCTCCACCTAAACTTTTGTCTGACCATGCAGCCAAGGGCCCAAGCACTCTCTTTGTCACTGAGATTGATTCCTGCATGGAGGGAGAAGCCAAAACATTTTTCTGTCTTTGTTGCAGGTGGGGTGAAGCGGATAAATTGTGGTCAAGTTGACTAGTTTGTGACTTTGGCAGTTCTGGCAACCCCGCCTTGAAGCACCACTAACTCCCACTTTCTTGCATGTGAGCTATAGGCAACAGTCGGTGCTGCGGTTTAGCCTGATATCAACACAGATACCGAATCCCCTCTGCAGTACCCGCCCAGAATGACGATTGTCCACGTTGTCCTGCTCCAGTTCAAGACGGGCACCAGTCCTGACATGATAAAAGACGTATGCGCATGATAGTGTTTGGCTGCCGCGATTGATTTGCAAATTCTGACCGTGTCTTGAACAAGATCTGTACCCGATCACTGGCTCTAAAGGATAGCTGCCTTCATCCCACGAGTCAAAAGCCATACATCATATCCATGGCCCAAGGAGCTGATACCTCGATCGCAGGCCTGAATGTGAGTGGCTTTGACTCTAGTTTGAATCCCGCGGAGACAAGACAGAGCCCTTTTCTGACTGTGTCTGCTGTAAAGCACGGCATGACGCATTGCTTCATCGTCAAGTTCGAGAACGCTGAAGATTTGGAATATTATGCGACCAAGGATCCCGTGCATCAAGGCTTCATAAAGACGCTTGACGGGTTTATCGAGAAAGTACAGGTGGTCGATTTCGTTGACGGCGTGTTTTGAAGAAGGAGGAGGAGCAGCAGTTGATACTCAATATACAGGCATGGACGGCAGGGAGGTCTTGTTGGGCGTTTGCGCTGCGGGTTGAGCCGTACACTTTCCAGTCGAGTCCAATATAGAATTGAATAGCGCTCCCATTTCAACGGTCACGGTGCAGAATACAGACTCCCGTTCACCAAAGCTCCCATCATCCGTACCCTCACGGACTCATCCTCAACCCCCCGTTGGCGCAAACCACGCTCCCCGTGCACCAGGCCCCATCCTTCGTACACAGCATCCCAACCACTCCAGCAACTTCGTCCGTAAACGCCGGTCTCCGCCCGCCCATTTTGTCCCTCACCGTCCTCATCTCCTCTTCACTGAGCCTATCCCTCCCAGTCCCCGAAAACCCCGGCCCAACGTTCATGTTACTCCCCGGCGTGTTATCCTGCCACCCCTGCATTTGGCTCCAGAACCCCTCCCCCGCCTCCCAGTACATATCCCCCATCACCGGACCAGGATTAACCGCATTGACGGTGGCCCGATCCCCCAGCTCCCGCGCCCATGTACGCGTCATGGCTTCCAGGGCACCTTTTGTACCCGCGTAGACGCTCTGGCCGGCAAAGCCCAGGCCGGCACTGACGCTGGAGACATTGACAATCCGCCCGGTGCGGTTGCGAGGTAAATACGGCGCCACGGCCTGGGTAAGAAGTAGCGGCGCGAGGACATTTACTCGATATTGTTTATCAAACATGTCAGCATCGATCGGGCCCCGTTCCGTGTCGTTGAGTAATCTATTCTCCGAGATGCCGGCATTGTTGATTAAGATGTCGATCTGGAAGTGATTCGTGCCTTGCGCGGTGAAATGCTGTTTGGCCGCGGATAAAATTTTCGATACCGCATCCTCGAGATCGCACAGGTCGGCTTGCTGCGCAAAACACTGAACAGAGTGTGCGGCGCGTATCGTTTCGCAGAGCTCAAGGGTGCGTGTCGTCGAGGAGGAAGAGGTGTAGACCAGTAGCAGGTGAGCTCCTTTCGAGGCGAGATTCTCGGCAACTGCAGCACCGATACCTGAAAATAACTATATAAACTTCCTGTGCTCTTTCATGGTGGGCTGTTTCTTCAGCTTACCACGCGAGCCCCCTGTGACTATACCGACCTTCCCTTCCAATGGTCGACTGGGCGTGCCGGCCATCATCGTTAGAAGCTCTGGAGCTCCTGGGCGAAGCTAACGGCAGGAAATAAGAAAGTATAGTAGATGTTCTGTTACATAGTTACTTCTCCTTGCTGGCATCCCCGCAGAATTGAGCTTCGGGATCCGGCCCGGCAATGACTTCATCGAAACTATTTTTGGCAGCATGCGAGAAGACCAACACAAAAGTCCATGCAGAGTCTCCCGTACTATCAGCATCAAGGGCTACCGATTATACAATTCATAAACTACGGGGATATACACACTGTCATAGCTGCACCGCGACAGAACAGAAGTGAAGCCAGCCGATTCGATCCAATTTTTGCAAACACAAGGAATCCATAACCATCAATCCCACGCCTCTCCCCAATCATCATCTTCAGCTGCAGGTTCAGCTTTCGGCTTCGTTTGAACAGCCTTTTTCGCCGGCTGAACTATTTTCCTAGTTTTGGCCGTCCTGTTGGATCCCGATACAATCGGCTGAGAGGACTTTGCGGATGATTGTGTCGTAGGGAGTTTCGTCGTTGCGCTAGTCGTGGAGCCCGGTTTACTCAACCCTTTCGGCAGGACCTTCTTCGTCTTCGCCTTTGATTGTGCGGCTAACCAACCTGCAAAATCTGGCTCCCCACCGTCGTCATAAGCGGCCGCTGGCGTTGCCGATGGAGCCGGGCTGGGCGATCCCCGAGCTTCAAAGAACGTATCCGCTGCTTCCTGCTCATGATCCTGGCTTTCGTCTTGGTTAATATCACCCCATGCTCCGAACCCGTCATCTTCGTCATCAACTTTATTTGGCGGCCGTTCAGACTGGGTTCGAGTGATGCGACGAGCATTAGTTGATGGAGCTGGCGTTGTCTCCGATGGCTGTGACGAGGACTCTACGATCGTTCGTGGCATCGACGATGAACGGCTGATATTGGTTGTTGTGACGCGAGATGTAGTTTGTTGCGGGGAAGCCGATTGAATTTCGCCTTTCGCCCCAGAAGCCTTGTTTGTAAATGAGGAAATAGCCCATCCTGCCCAAGAGACTCCGTTGGATTTCACAGTTCCAGCTGAGGGTGCATCTGAAGTGCTTTGGGGTGGGAGGGCTGTATCAGCCATAGTGGAGGCAAACTGACGGATCCGTTGTAGGTATACATCAAACGTTTTATTGGCTTGATCGCGAATAAGTCTCGGTAATATCAGCGCAAGTTCAGTATAATCAACTCTGTTCACTCACCTTTCCTTGTCTATCAATGCTGGACTAATTGCCGGTATAATTTTTGCGGCGCAATCTTCCTCATTAAAAAGGTCTATAGTGGCTGCAAGTGCTAACAAAGCTGCATTCCTTGCATGCACAAAAGGATCTCTGAGCGACCGAGTAAAGGCGGCGATCAGGACTTTCGACCTGGACTAAATTGACAATGAGCAATGATTATTGAAAGCGAGAAATACTGCTTACGCTTTGCCCAAGGTTTCTTGCTATTTTCCCAAGACAGATTGTCGTATTTGTGCGGATCCCCGGTTGCTCGTCATTCGCAGTTTTGGCTAGATATCGCAGCAATTCACCGTTAATGGTTCGATCCGACAGCTTATTAATTACTGTAAGAACAGCTTTGACAGTTTGTTCTCGCACAACAGGCGCGATGTCAGTAAAACCAGTTACCTGGGATCGCATCATTGTTAGCAATATCCGACCAAGGTGACTGGGGGCAGTGTTGGTACCATTTGTGGAAAGATCTTGTCATTGACTATTTTTTGTGACAGCCGGTCGATCATCAATGGAAGGTTATCTAGCAAACACACTCGAATGGCTCTATCTGGGTTTGCAAACAGTCGTATCAAAGCAGGTGTGAGCTTTTGGTTATATTCGTCTTCCGTAAGCTTAGTGCCTATTTTCAAGACAGTCGCCAGCGCTTTCGGACCGCCGCCTCCAAATTCCACGCATTTCAATAGTTCAGGCAGGATCTTCATCTTGAAAAAGTCTTCTGGAACGTCATCGGATAACTCATCGAGCTCACTTTGGAATGTCAGTTATTATCCGGGTTGCTCCTCAGGGAGGGAAGATACATACTTGATAAACTCCTCCCGCTCTTCGTCGCTTTTCAGACCTAGGCTGTCAATATCCTGCGTTAATCGAACTAAGGGTGAGTCGAAAAATCCACCGGCTCGCTGTCCCTGCTCTATGAAATGTGCCACGCTCAGTCTTAATTTCGGGTTTGGATTCACCAGCTTTTTGTAGCTTTGTTGCATGCTGGGAGGTATATTCGAAGTCTGGCCAGCCTGATCGTTCTGAAAGCTGCCATTGAATATTTCGAAAATTAGAGTTCCTAAATTATAGGCATCCACAGCATGTAGGGGATTGCGCTTAATCGTTTCCCAGCCTCCCTTTACAACTTCCGGAGGGGTATACCGCTGCGCATCTGGCAGGAGGCTGCCGTATGTCTGCAATCCGATTAGCGGTCGTCCATCGGGTGGGTTTCGTTTGGGGTATTGTGAGCGCAACGGACATATATTACAGCGTCATCCTCCTTCATGGAACTTAGGATGTCAAAGCCCCCCAGTTTCCATTCGCCACTTTCGCTCGTATATATCGAAGAAATCCGAATAGCACCATGGACAGATGCCGCGTCTTCGTTGATAAATTTGAGAGTCGACTGAGTACAGGTTGAGAATCAGGACAGGAGCTTAGAAAAGGATAATGGCAGTATTTGACGTACAGAAATGGCGTTAAGTCCCCATTTTGCGGTTTCCTCTGAGAGACTGCGCCGCTTTACGGGCCACGATAGCGGAACAACCCTCTCCGTCACGATGTAGATTTGAGTGTCTGTCTGTTCGCGTGGGTTAGCCGAATTCGCTGATCCACGCCCGCACCAGCCATTTCTTAAAGATACCCACCTCGACAGTGTCCAGCAGCTTCAAAACGCCGGGGTGGCGCAGTGTTTTGAATTTGCGGAGCGCATTCTTCGCAAGGGGGAGTCGTGACCGGTTCTGAGCGATCTCGAACGTGAATATGCTACAGGGCGAGCTATCTTCCTATGTTTAATAGAGAGATATTAGCCGTCATCATCGGAGCCGGGGGCCCAACGCTCCATACCCGTTTTGTGCCATTGTGAAGTGTCCAAATGGACTCGCCATTATCTAGTCTGTCTCCAAACGAGTAGGGTAACGAGCTGCCCTTCGAGATAGCCGACGCGACGGCAGATTTTAAGAAGTCCATGGCACGATCTTCTCTGATACTCTGTCAGGCAATTCAATGTCCACTTCCCGCGTTGTGGCGGAGGCTGGAAGGGTCGTTTCTCATATACGTAGGTAAATACGGCGGAAGTTTGGGGGATTGACGACCTTGATATAAACACAGTTTCCGGTATAGACACCTTTTTGAACCCGGTGGAATTCAAGAACTAATAACTAGTTACGCAGAGGGAGAAATATCTACAGGCTCAGAACCCACACAAGCATCTTCCCTGTTCCCAGAGCACTGTTTCTCTTCGCACCAGTTGTTGGCGTCGCTTCGTCGCTGCAGTCTGTCATCACATGTGATATTACATAATCAACTTTCTGCCAAGAGGCCAGACCGCTTTGACCTCAACTCTTCCACTTCCTGCTGTCTGCCATCGTCCATCGTTTCTCCTGCTCTCCCGATATACCACACTTGCCCCAGGGCATTCGTTTCTACCTGCGCTGGTCAAGTCCACTTCTTTTGCATCTCGCAGCCACTCTTTTCTCATCTATTGCCCTTGAATGGAGAGATTGCCGAGTTTCAGGAGTACCTTCTGCAGAGTAGCACAGCCGGCCAGGCGGGTGTGAATCAGAAAATGCAGGCTCTTGAAAGGAGAATATAAATTGCTCTTTCACATTGATAGGCGGCAACTCGTTATGACTCATACGATGGTTTGCTTCCCGCTATACTATCGCGCAATCCATTTCCTGCGATTGCCCTGTTCGACTGCGGCCGCGCATCTAGCCGTGAAATTTTGACGGCTCATTCCCTAATGTCGTTTCACAGGATTGGAAATCCACTATCTCTGGCGAATTCAAGCTGCTGCACCCGTTTTGGTATTCGCCAACGGGCCGACGTGTCAACCCCTGTTTCTCTTATCTTTTGTTCGCGTTCAGTCTGCTTGAATTTCAACCCCAACCAACCCCTTTATACCGACTTCTTTGATTTCTCCGATGATGATTAAATCTGGTAAAAGGTCAGACTAAAAATAAACAAAGAGGACAATGTTGCTGGACTCCACACCCAGAGTAAATTTGCGTCTCGGGCTTCCGCAACGAATCAGGCGACTCTCAATAGTATACCTACACAGAATAACAGGGAGAATCCCCGTTCATCTCATATCTCTTTCAGCGAAAACCTTCCTATCTTCTGAGGGGGATGGGGCAAAACTTGAAATTTGCACTGGCAGGCAAGAAGGGCGTCTGTTTCTAAACCTCTATAACAGTTAACCTGCCCGTGGAATCGCCAGTGGAAAATGATCTGGCTACTTTTATCATGGAGCTTTCGATCCGCTATTCCCCAATGAGGACCCGAAAGCTAAAGGCAGTGGTCAACATGACTGGATGCCCCAACTCCCCCCCAAGAGATGAACATGGCCGTTTTCGTTGAAAGAGGAGATTCGAGCGAGTGGAATCGCTTTGCTTTTTCATGAGGATACATTGAGATTAGCCTGGTTGTTATGGAGCTCGAGAAACGATGCTCTGGGTGGCCGGCAACTTGACTCTTTTGTGGAATGATGACCAAATTTATAAACTGAAAAGACCTGAGGAGAATTCATTGCTTAGGACGTCTTCTTGTTGCGTTTCATCACCCCAAGCGAATATCTCACCTATTTACCCTAGTTTTGGTTTTCTACTGACGGATGATGGGATTATTGGTTGCTTGATACTGTGTTGTCGGCCTACAGCTTTTGGTTTTGCATGGGTTTTGTAGTCAAAGAACGAGCTGGAAAATTCAGGTACCTGCATACGTTGGTTCGTCCCTTACTACTGGATGCTCGCCATGGTCATATAATAAACAAGAAAACAATTAAGGGAATCAATCAGCAAGTATCAATCGCATCCTCGTCACACTCCATCTCGAGCAACGGATGTCGCTGCTGTTCGCCCCCAACCGAGAACTCAACTTGGAATGAAAAAAAGAAGAAAAAGAACAAATAAAAAAAACTATGTCAAATTCACACTCGGGCATCCCTCCCCATGACAACTACCGCAATCTGACGTGCAACGTTTACGGATGTCAATTAGGCATCCCAAACACAAGTAACAACCCGAGATCATACCAACCTTCCTAGCCTGCTCCCCATTGCCTAAAGTTGTCAGATTACGTCCTCTCCGTTGCGGATCATTATCCACCTTATCGTCGTCCGACCTTAAACATTCCTTCGTATTATTATCGGTTTGGCGAGGTTTGCCAAAAATTTCATCGGAAGGAATACGTGTTTGAAGCCCAATTCGATGCTGGGCTCGCGTGGGAAACGTCTTGGTAGCGGTATCGTAAGTGCTTGGAACTGGTGCGAAATAGTGACCTGAAGAACGCTGGCAAAAATTTGGCGTCTTGTTGTCGTGCAAGACTATCACGCAGTGTTCGTCACACCAAAGGTGCAGAGTTAAAATATCCAAGAAATTGCCATCGATAATACTAGTGTCGTTGCTGCATTGATTATGCCACGCACGCCTCCATGCGCCAAGTCAGCGCGTTGAACTGTGGGCCTGCGGTTAATAAAAGGAAGCTTACTTCGGTTGTGCGGGGACTCGTCGTGATCTGGTCGTGCTTTTGTCCTAGAATTGTCGATAGCATAAAAATGCAAAGAAAGTTGTACGCTAGAAAGAAATGGCGAAAACCGAAACGAAATCCAGGTAGAATTGTCCAGCTTCGAATGGTGAGTGCGACCAGTTGGCAAAATGAGTATCCCGCAGAATCATAGATTATCAGGGCACCGTCGCAGAATCGTGGTATTTCTGACATTTGCAGCATTGTTCATTTGACTTCCTCAGCGCCTTCACTTGGATGGGGGCCTGAAGCTGGTCCCTGCGGAGGACCTTGACTATGCATATGTGGCGGAGGCATATGTGGCATCTGATTGAAGTTATTGCTTGGCGTCCGATACTGGTGGTGAGGATAATGGTGGGACTGATTTGGGCTTGATGTGAAATGTGGATGCTGATGATGGCCTGGGCGACCGCCGGGCACTACAAATGTAAGTGAAAGGAATTAAGACGTAATTCTTTTGGCGTACTTACTATGTCCGGGTTGTTGTGGCGGATAAAAAGGTTGTCCGTGTTGTCCCGGATTCATTACCATGCCGGGTTGAGGTGGTTGGCCTTGTTGAGAACCCTGATGAACCATCATTGGCGCACCCCGACTGGGGCTTGGATATCCGCTATGAGGTTGCGGGGGTGGCTGTACATGCTGTGGATAAGCATGCCCTGGACTTGGGGAATACATTTGCATCTGCGGATTGTATGGCGCCCCCATGCCCTGAGGAATACCCATATACGGGCCGCTGGAAGGTTGATGGACCATCATGGGAGCTCCCATTCCATTTTGCGGGTTGACAAACTGCGGCCCCCCAGGATAATGTCTTACGTGTGGGGGTTGTGGTCCTTGGTCAGCATAGAACTGAGGTAAGCCTTGCCCAGTTGCTAGCTGAGCGTGAGGCTCTATTGGAGATTGATAA